GTCCTCCAATTCAGGAATTGGTGAACTATTTACCTTAGGATATGAGAAGCCTCTAATAAAGAATACTTCCATGACCTGGAAAAGCAAGGATCAGGTGATGCAGACTTTGCTCTGGCTTCAGAACTCAATTCCACTTATCTTTATCTGATCCTTGGAAGAAATCTTACCTCAGCCCTTTTTATTTCCTTCCAGATGTACTTCAGTGAGCTGGCAGAAAGTCTGCTGTAACTTCTCCAAAGATGGTGTTCCTTTTTCCCTTCCTTTTCTACAGGACAACATTATAATACTGAATGTTTTTATCTAAGGAGAGATGCAAAGGTTCTCCATGATTTAATAAATAAATGTAAATAAATAAATCTGTGAAAACATGGCTCTCCTGCTCTTTCACTGAAGTTTAAGGCACCTGAGCATGTTAAATTAATATCCTCCGGGGCCAAGTGGCTTGGAGATGAAATAAGCTGTAGATGAACGCATCTGGACGGTTGCCATAAATAATCTTAATAATAATCTTTATCAAACCGAAGTAGTATTTATTATAGGACAGTTGAATAAGACAGTTCACACGAACAGGTACAATTCTGCTGCACACTTTGAGTAGTATTTACAAGCAGGAGCTGTTTTGGGAGGCCAAAAGGGGGGGGGGGAAACAAGCTAAACCAAGCCAGATTTTGTCAGAGGTCAGATAAACTTAGTTGCCTACAACAGGATAAGAGAAATCACCTTGTCAATTCTCGAGGCTGCAAACTCTGCAGTGTTGGGTGTGTATTGTAAAAAAAAAAAAAAAGACTGGAATGACTTAGGTGAGGACCCCTTGCTTTTAAGACTTCTTGTATTCGATTCTTTCTACTTTCACGTCATCGCCAATCAGCTGATAAACGTAGGTAACAACCGTAGAGGCCTGGATGTCCATCAGCACAAACGAAGGGATGATGTTGCTGGGAAAGGGAAGGAAGGAAAAAAGCAACCCATTATTTTGCTGAGGACATCCAGAGTCCTAACATAAGGCAGCTCAGGTGAAGACGAGAATTCCTGCAGCAGTAAATCTCTCATTGCCAGGAACGAAGAGCTGTGTAAATGTCGTATTTATTCAAGCTGTAATGCAGCATTTCCAAACCAGATGCCTTTACCTACTAGGGATTCAAGCTCAACATATTTGCAGGGCATCGGGGCTGCCTATCCCCAGGTAAGCAGTTTCTTGTGAGGTATCACTTACTTTTCCAAAGCGCTGTAGGCTCCTGTTGCTGAACCTGGGTTAATGTAGAACTTGTTTTCATGTTCAAATGCCTCGAATTTGTTTGTGTGGCCCGAAATCAGGATGTCGACGTCGAACTGCCGCTGCAGAAGAGCGAGGCTGGCCACGTCACCCCAGGGAATGACTTGATGGCCATGGATCAGCCCAATCTTAAACTGCCCCACAGTGACCACTTTCTGTTCAGGATAATTCAGATTCTAGGATTGAAGGCAGAGCGTGAAAATGAGACAAACAAAAAAGACCTTTGGCGTTATCCTCTTTTAACCCTTCCAGAGAAAAATGGCCTCTCTTTTTTGAGGACAAATCTTCAAAGAACAGCACAATTCTCAGTTGAAGTCCACCCATTTTCAAGCAGCCAAGGCTGAGAAACACTAATAAGACAATACATGATAGAACAGTAACACAAATCTCCATACACAGAGGCTTGCAGGGTAAACCCTTTAAAAAAAAAAACTAGCTCTCAAGGATACAGGAACAGGTTGATAAAATATCCAGGCAGAAATCCCAGCTCGCAGCAGCCTCATCAAACGTTACCTCGTCAAAATCTCCTCTCACGACGTGAACGTCGCCAGCCAAGGTCTTCAGGTAGTCATAGCTCTCCTTCGTGCAAAGGTTCCCTGTGCAAAGAATGTGCTGGATTTTGCCCGGAACCAGCAACTTTTTGAATTTAGCCGGCAGGCTGTTACAGCGGTGAGGAATATGAAGGTCACCCAACACTAACACCAACTTAGGGCAAGAGAGAAGAGACAGTTAAGATTCTAGCAATGCATCAACCAACTTTCCAGCAGTGGAGAGAAATAAATGCCCGTCAGACCTGCTAGCTTCTAGAAGAAATGGAAATCCTGTTGCAATTGGGTATTTTTTTTTTTTTAAAGCATAAGCTACTTGGATTCCACTGCGGATAAAACCACGAGGGTGAGGATATATTAGACTGGAGGAAAGTAAAAAATAATGACTTGATCCAAATGGTTTCTTTGAATTGTAAAAAATACAGGCAACTTGCTCCAGTTTTCTTCCCCCCACGTACAACAGTTTGAACAGGCCATAAAGTTTGAGACAATTGCAAGTAGAAAGTTGCAGGGATTATACAGAGCTACTTTTTCAGAAAAAAAAAATATCCCATCCTTTGAAGTATTTTGTTTTAAATAGATGCCGTTTACACCCAAGGCCAATAAGGCTTGAAAATTGGCTCTAGGCCCCACATCTGTCCTTGGTTGGCCTCTGGTGAAGAAAGGCAGGATCCCAAAGGGTATTGCTGGCTGTGCCACTACCGGACAGATTGGCAATTGCCAACTTTCTGACTTCTCAAGGTGGCACTTCCTCTACAGTTGATTTCACTGAGGGAGCGGAGACTGTGCCTTGAGGATCTAGGGTGGTGCTTATCAACTTTGGCAAGTTTAAGCTCTATGGACTTCAACTCCCAGAATTCCCCAGCCAGCGTGGTGCCCTCCAGTTGTGTTGAGATGGCAACTCCAGGAAGTTTTACTCAACATAAGCTGAGGTTCCAGCAGAAATGCTGGAAGGCACCAAACTGGAAAAGAATGAGTTAAAGCTAAGTGGCTGAAACAGGGCAAAGCTTTCACTCCATCAGCTACTGACCAGATTGCCATCCTTTAAAGGGGATTCTACTCTTTAAAGCTGCTAAAAGAATTTGTCACCTACCACCACCACCGTCAGCAAGAGGCCAAGATGAACCAACTTACTCTGTGCCCAGCCTTATTGGATGAAGAGGTTGATTGCAGACAAGAGCAAAGGGTGGAGGGGCAGCAGGGGTGAAGATGGGGATGGAAAAAAAATAGGGGTGAGACATGAACAGTGTTAAATTAAAAGGAAGCAACAGAAAAAGAAAACATCTCAAGCCAAATTAATAGGCAAATCATCAATGAAATCTGAATGTTAGCAAAGGAAAGGTTAAAAATAAATCTGATTTATGCAAGTGATACTACATGGATTATCCAATCAACTTTCCCAGCAGTTTCCTTTTTTAACCTATTGTTAGTTTATAAACCAGCGAAACCTCGCACGTGTATTTTACAATCCATTAGAACAGAGCCGGTACGCAAGGTCCAATGTGGATTCTGCTTATTTTAGCAACAGACTTTTTGGGGGTAGGAAAGCCTGGGATGGAGACAAACCAAAATATCCTAAACAAATATCATGAAAAAAGCTTATGATTTCCATATAGTTGTCCAGTGTAAAACCAAGCCTGGGATATTAAACCATGAATAACCATGGATATCAGTTTGAATCATGTTTTCTAAAACCTGGATTCTTGGATTTTAGTTTGATTGCTATTTCACTCCTTTTGGGATTTACTAGCACTTGTTCTCACTTCTTCTCAACATTACAGAGAATTTCCTACTAGGATGTTACACATGGTGGCTCATTTCACAGGTAGATCGTAAGACTTCCCAGGGTTAGCTAAGCACCATCGTGATAGATACGCCGTTGCCTTACATATCATGAAAGCAGGTGAGTTACAGGTAATCCTCAACTTACAACAGTTCATTTAGTGACCGTTCCAAATTACAACGGCACTGAAAAAAAAGGGACTTATGACTGTTTTTAACACTTACCACCGTTGCAGCATCCCTGTGATCAAAATTTGGACGCTTGGCAACTGGTTCGTATTTATGGCGGTCGCAGCATCCCGGGGCCACGTGGTCCCCTTTTGCGACCTTTGACAAAGCAAAGTCAATGGGGGGAAGCCAGTTTTGCTTAACAATTGCAGTGATTCACTTAACAGCCGTGGCAAGAAAGGGCGAAAAATGGGGCAAAATTCACTTAACCAATGTTTCACTTAGCGACAGAAATTTGGGGCTCAATTGTGGTCATAAGTTGAGGACTACCTGTATGTCATGCAGGCAGATCGTCAGAACTACTGGGAAGGGGAGTCATGCAGGAGAGTCAGAAGACAAAAGAGAAACCTCTGGAGCTCAAAATTCACTGAGATATTAACTTGACAACAAAATAGCACAAAATGACATGTTACTTTAAAATGTGAAACAATTGCAAATGACGCCCAGAAGTGGACTGCCTGCAAAATCTAAGTACAGTAAGCAACACTGAAGGGAAAACTTCAGAATTAAAAAATTAATGTGTAATTGGTTAGAGGTCAAAGGTCTAACCTCTTCCCTCATTTGTTTTTCTGAAGAAGCACCAGCACACCCAAGGGGGAAAACTTTCCCCACAGGAGAAATGTAAAGGTTTTTTATAAATATAAATATATATACATATTTCTCTCTCTCTCTCTTCCCAGGGAGGAAGGCTTCCCCCTCCCCAATTAACGGCCTGTCTGAATTTGGGGTGCTGAGTTCATGGCAGGAGACAGAGTCAAACCGGGGCGCCCCCCCCCCCCACGAAGAAGGGACCACTGCCATGCTGCGACCCCTTCATGTTGGGTGGAGACGACGGGAGCTGTTGTCCCAGGCAGCGCGGCCATTACAGACCGAGACTGGGTTTCCAAGTCAGCCCCCGGCCCTTTTGGGGGGCTCCTCATCGCCCCCCCTCCCAGAACGACTCACCATGTCGGTATCTTCAGCGCCGCTCCTCCGGGCTCCGTTTTTCGCCGCTTCCGGTGAGCCCAACCCAAAACTCCGGAAGTGCCGACTACGGAAGCCGAAAGGAGGCAAAAGTGCTCACTGCAGCGGGAGGCGCCTGTCAGCCAGACCGCAGGCTGAGGGGGCGGGGCTCCTAGAGTTCTTCGATTGCAACCCTACATTAGCGGCGCTGTTGGGTAGCTGAGTGAAGGATGGAAGCCCAGCAAGGGTGGAAGAAATAAAGGCTGAGCATGACAGTGTTCAGAATGCCTTCATCGCACGCCGCTTAGCCAAGAAGGAGATGATGGGAACTCTAATCGGGGCTGGGAAAGAGTGGTTAGGCGGAGCGGGGTTATCAACTGCCCCGCATATGGCGGCATTGCAAAAGAGCCGGAAGTGGTAGCTCTACCGAAGAAAGCTCTTTTCCCCATCATTCTCACCCTCTATGACCTCCCTGAGTTCTCGCGATATATCCTCCAGGCGATATTTATCGTTTTTGTCTTGAGACGGGGACCTTTCAGACGTTCTCCAGACACGCGTGTTGGGGAGGGGCATCGGTCTTCTTTTCATTATGAAGTGTGTCATTGGGGGCGCCCGTGTCAGAGGTATAGCACCCCAATGCTTTAAGAAAAAAAAGCAGTTTAATCCTACCAGATCCCCCATATATATGTGTGCGTATGTATGTATATATACACACACATACACATAAAACTGTGGTGCAGCTTACAGTAGCATTAAATCATAAAATATCCAAGCATTAAAATTAGCAACAATTAAACAAATTTATCTGTAAGTATAAGAATCAGAATAAAGTGCAACCCAAAGGACAGTCATGCTAATAAAATCTTGGGGGAGGGGGAGAAACACATTTTATTACATGATTGTGAAATCAACTTAGATTATGACATCTATTTTAAGGGAATCTGTTGAAAGGAACAAAATTTCTGCTGAGTTGAATTCAGAAATTAATAGAAACCTTGGTTGGGAAGCCTAAACCATATAATTAAATTCCTTGCACGATTTGCAGCTAAACGTAGCTCTCCCGTTACCTTCCAAAATGGTTTCCATCGTGCAACATTAACGCCTCTTCCCCAATCTTCCCTGCAGTGTTTGGGAGGGCTCTGCACGCCATTGCGAGAATCAGCGATGAATTTTGGATTGACCCCAAGGAAAAAGGAGTGAGTAGATCCTGGATCCAGGAGAAAATAACTTCCGAATTGAGTAATGGGTTCCAGAGAAATGCATTCTATATTGCCACACAAGGGCGAGGCTAACCAAGCATCCGTTGTTCATTAAGGAAAACCACTGTTTTGCCCCAAAGGGCCTCACTTGGATGGGAGCCTCTGTACCAAGAGCACAAGCTCAGTTGTGCTTAAATGTTGCCTAGAATTCGATGTGCAATGTACAAACACGCACTTGATATTGGTGCAAAGTGTACGAGGATTTCCACCATGAAGTAACGAGAGACGCATATTGCAAAATCTAGTGTTTTTCCCCACACCATCTGGGAAATCCTAGCACAGTATAACAAAGTTAACAGCTGATTTTGTGTGGTTAGAGTTAGGCTGGAAGCAAACAAACACCTTCCAATGTTACCAGATTGTGCTTTTTTTCTAATTTTTTTTTGCTTATTAGTAGTCATTTCTTCTTATCCACAGCTTTTCCTGAGGACGGTAAATAATTCTAGATCAGCCTATGCCTGTGTCTTCTTTTCATCTTCCTTCTTCCAAAATTATTCCTATGGAAATGCCTCTGAACTGAGTCTGAATGGGAACACTGTTCAACTCGCATGCAAATTAATAATAAAAGTAAGTTTCAACCAACTGGACCAAAAGCTGTTTCATTGCTAGAAAAATACAGTTCTATTTAGTGAAATACGAAGAGAAGCTATGCGTGATCAAATGTATACTTTATTCAAATATATCTTTGATCAATGTGTACTTTTCTTTGGGAAAAAAATATAATCATCATTTTTCATCAGGAAATCCCTGCATTAATACAGTTTTTCATTTCAGGCCATTCTGCCTTTGTTTCGATGCTTGCACACGCTGGAAAGAAATGTGGAAGAGTGCAACATTTATACAGACGTTAGCAATTGCCATATTGTTTTTAAGCTATTCTGCAAACACGGTAAGTATATGATCTTGTCAATCTTACATAACCTGAAAGACAATATTAAAAATGTTATCTGTCAGGATCTAAAGAACTCCACCATGCCTTTGCTTTGGGTTTGAGATATTTTGACTGTGGAATTTTCCAAGGAAGTCCCTGTGCTGTCCCCAAAAATTATTGAGTACCTGAAGGGAGCATGTGGGTTTTGCCTCAAATTAACGAATAGGAAAATGAAATTGTCTGCTGGATTTGAATCCTCTGAAAAACTTTCAAGATAAAAATGGGGTAGCTTCAGTGGTGGGATTTAGCCAGTTTGCACCAGTTCGGCAGAACCGGTAGCTAATTTTTTGTTGCCCAGGCCCAGAGTGGACTTCTGGAAGTGGCATCCACACAGAGAACTGGCTGTTCACATATTTGAATCCCACCATTGGGAAGTTTACAAAGATGGCGCGCTTACAGCTTAACACTCTGGGATTAAATCAATAATTAGCATTTGCTTCAGTTATTGAATATGCTACAGATGGGTCAGCTGGCACTATATTTTTAATTAAGTTTGCATGCTATGGAAGCCATTGCTAGGGGAAAAAATCCTAGCCCTTTCGAAACATTTAAACTATTTTGCATGTTGTCCACCAGAGAGCAACAGCTGACCTGTTTAATCAGCACAGGTCTGCCATGGAGCTGGGTAGCCACTGTTATAAAAAACAGATGATTGATTTTGCTATATGAAGAGGTAGTACATTAAAAAAAATCACCATGTTATTAAGTGGGTTCCTAGGGCAGCTGTTAAATTCAGCAAGCTTCTGCATCCATCACTTTTTGCTTTGGAGATGATGGGCTCATGGAGAGAAATTCTCAAGGCCATTCCCAAATCTTGCTTTCATGAGCGCAGATGGTTCCCCCTTTTCTCCTCCACTTACATGGTAGATAAGATATTTAGCACTCTTCCGATAAAGGAGAGTATTTGTTGAAATACGGGGGCCTTGGTGTTCGGCTGTTTTCTTGCAGAGGCTTTATGACCCAAACTAGGTAACACCATCAGTGATAATATTAGCATACTTCCTATTTAATCATGCTGAAATAAAATACGACAGTCAATTCATTTCACATTTGTTTGTGGTAGTCTGCAGAGAGACTTTGATTTGATAATTGTATCCTTTTCCATCAGGTGTCGTGAAAACTCATAGCTTAGCTTTCCAGGAATGTGAACCTCTTCAAGCTGTGTTTGCAAAACATTTGTGCACCAATGTACTGAAAGTCCAGTCCAGGTAACATAGTAGGCATATTAGCAATTGGCCTGTTTTGTTGTGGCTGATCATGTGTGTTGAATTAAATGCGAATGGTAGGTTGTCACCCAAGAGATCTCAGCCTTATTAATTCAGAGACAAAAAGAGAATTTAATAGGAGCTGCCCAATTTGTAAGCTGAATTAATTATCCAGGTTTTTGTTCATTTCAGGCAACTGTCTGACATCTTGATCCATTTTCCGATGTACCAAGAAGAAATAACTTTAGGTGTAACACCAATGAAAGTTTGCTTCAGGACTTATCTAGAGGATGAGATGGGTGAGGATTATGCTTCCGTGGTGGGATTAAAGATACAATTTTGAATTTGCTACATCTTGAATGCAAGAAGTTACTGTAAGAAAAATGTATCTGTATGTCCATGACATAGTTTATTATACAATCAAAAAATGTCTTTTAAATATTCAAAGTACAGAGAACTCAAAACCGCTTTTAAAAAAACAGTAAAGAGTGAAATATATTTTGTTCCTATTCATTTTTTAATAAAGAATAGCCACAATGAAACAGACGTTCAAAATTACCCTGATAATGGTGGTCAAATTTACTACAAATTGATAGAGCTTATAAGTAGGAAGCTATGGAATACACATTGTCGTGGTCTGTACTTTTTTTCTGATATTTGGAATGGTTCTGCATTGACTTCACATATATCATTTTAAGGCATATGGTAGCTGAAAGCTCACCTGTGACCATGGGATGGAAATGGTCGCCAGCCGTGTTAATATGCTAATCAAACTTTTATTAACCATTCCAAGAATTCTCAACAAACCTGTATTTTTTAAAGTCATTTTAATCTTGTACCATTTTTATTTCAACAGAATTTGCAAAGGCAACGCATACGGAAATTCATCTCAGTCCTGACGAATTTGAATATATTCAAGTCGGAGTGGATTCGGAAGTCACATTTTGCCTTAAAGAGCTGCGGGTAATATGGTTAATTATATTGTCTTGGTTGCAGGGCCTACTTCAAAGTGATGAGTGGTACCCTCCCATAAAATACCAGCTGGAGTGACTCATTTGGATAGCAGCATTAGGAAAGGAGGAATAAGGGAGCAAATGTTACTCAGATATTCTTTTGATGTTCTTCTTGTATCAAAGCCCAATATCCAGTAGAATCCAGCATTTAATATGCAGCCATGGCTGGCCAAATGTTGTGTTCCTGGCTGTGGAATTCTGGGAGTTGAAGTCCTCATGCCTTAAAATTGTCAAGTTTGGGAAACACTGCACTACAGTGATAAGCAGTAGAATTCATACCTTCTTCCTTTGGAGAGCTGAGTTAACCACCCCTCTTTCCCTTGTGTTTAGGGTCTTCTGGTGTTTGCAGAGGCTCTCAGTGCCCCAGTCTCCATTCATTTTGATGTTTCTGGAAAGTAGGTAGATCTTTTTCCTTTTAAGAAAGCGCAGCCATATTTTACGGCCTCGTTTTAACACTCTGAAAGCTTAGCGAGAATAGATTTAAAATCACCTCAAGTGTCCACAAATGCATTTGTACGCATGCGGAACTTACAGTATAGAAAGACACACTTCTAAGGATTACCCTACACCAGGGGTAGGCAACCTTGGCTCTTTTATGACTGGCTCAGGAATTCTGGGAGTTGAAGTCCAGAAGTCATAAAAGAGCCAAGGTTGCCTACCCCTGCCCTACACGTACCATACAAGAACCATATATAATAAGAGAGAAGCACCTGCGCTAATAACATGACGGCACCCGATTAAGGTGTGGGATTTTTTCAGAAGAAAGGAACATAGGCTGAGAACAACTCTGTTCATTGCCAGGAACAGGGAACATGATCGCTCTTGGGTCCTGGTGCAGCCTGAGGCCAATCCTATTTTGGATAGGCAAATAGGGGAGCAGGAAAGAGAGGAGATAAGAGAGACAGAATGGAGGGGAGAGAAAGAGAGGCAAAAGGATGGGGGAAGATACAAATATTCTGCTGAATTGGTGGGGGAGAATTTACAGCTTTATTTCATTATTCTGCCATCTTGAGGCTTGCAGTTGGTGAATGAAAAATTGAAGGTTAGCAAGGAACATTGTTATATCGGGCTAAGATGGATTGGCAAGCTATACTTTCGTCAGGGATTGGGGGAGTTGAAATATGGATGCAATTTAAGGAACTATTCCGTTTCTGCATCTGTGTGTGTGAGGCAAAGCAGCCCCTGTGTAAATGCAGATTCTAGTCCTCTCTCTGACGATATCTTATTTTTGCATTTCAAGGCCTGTTGCCTTCAGCATTGAGGATACGGTAATAGAAGCCCTCTTTGTGCTGGCCACTTTATCCGATAACGAAAGCTGCACAACGGCTAGTAAACCAACATGCCTTGAACAAGGCCAAAACAGGTAATATAATTTTCAGGCAAGATTTCTCGTAAAACGCTCCATTTTAGATAAGGGTCTCTCTCAGCATGGAGAGAGGAGAGAAAAAGTCACGTTCTCGGGAATGAAATTCCTAGAAAGATATTTTTGTCTTCATCTGAAGAGTATCCCAAGCAGCCATGCAGGCAGCCAAGTCAAGTCATGCCTTTGGCAGGTCTCTCCACATGCCAGAGCCGAAGTTAAATGAGAGAAGTCACTCACGGTGACCTTTGGGGCCAATGACTTGTTTCGTCTGGTCAAACACAATTACAAATAATCATAAACTGCTCCTCGTATTGTTCAGCCAGGCTAGATGGGGCTTAAGGCAAGGGAGACCCCCCAAAAGAGCAAGTGCAGTTTGTAAATAAGGAAATACCCAGCGCTTTATCAGCAACTTGCTTAGCAAAGCAACCAAGAGGCATATGTAGCCCTGCCTCCATTTCTCTGTTTCCAAAGCTAAACAAGATTTGTCTTTACAAATCTCTTCCCTGCTTAAAATTAAAGGTGGCTGTCAGATCATGCCAACTTCCTGCCCAAATATAGTGCATGCCACGTATCTGCAGAGCCTCCACTGGACGGGAAGAAAATAATCTTAGAACAAGGCCCCAAGGAGCCCTTTGAGGTCCTCCAGGAGGAAGCTCCAGGCTGAAGCTTCTGAAAACCACCACTGGGAGGGAAAATCATAACACAGATCCATCTTTATGGCACTTTAGGGCCTCTGCCTTAGAGAGACGTAATCGAGACATCGTCAGTTGCAGGAGAAACGCATCCACAGCTCCCTCGGAGGGCTTTTCCACAGGAGAGGAACCAACTGATCCCAGCTATAATAAGGTAAAAAAAAAAAAAAAAAGCCACCTAAAAGCCGCCAGTGAAAGAAGGGAGAAGAATCAGATTGCCTTAGTGAATTTGATCCACTGCTTCTCTCATCCCAATTAATTGGCTGACATGGGTTGGAAAAGAAAGTTGCCAAGAACTGAGGTGGGGCTGGCTTTCTGGGACTTAAAAGTCATCCCGAAATTCAACGCGGTCCAGTTTTTTGGTCCCACTTTGCTACTGCTGCTTGCAATTCGGCCTCCCGATGTGCAGAATTTCTAGGTTTGGCTCAAGGTCCCAGCGATGGTTCATTTTTTTTTTCTTTTTTCCAGTTTCATTCCTTGTTCTTCGGAGCCGTTTCCCCTAATGAGCAAAGCAACGCCAATTTACTTCACAATCTGGCCACAGTGAGCGACCCAGAAGAGGACTGCGCCCGTGGGCAGCTCTCGCCCACGTTTTAATCGCAGGAAATGGTCTGTTGGCGAAGCAGGCAAGGAGGAGGAGCCGAGTTTGGCTTGCAGGAAAATGTAATTTTTGCTTACCGTATTTTAGCGGCTTGAGTTACCCAAATGGATGCTCCTGCTTCCTAAATGTTGTTTTACCTTCCACCTATGGATATTGTAGCTTTTTCCAGAATCCTTTAGATGTGATTAAAAGGTCTAGCTGTGTATAATATTCAGTGAGCTTCCTTCAATGTGGGAAAACCTGGGCTATCCGTTGTGTAGGTTGTTCAAAAACCAGGGTTAGTACTGTATATTACAATCAACTTGAAAGCATTTCAGGATGCTTGCCCACAGCAACCAGATGGAATGTTTCAGAAGCGTGTTCAGCATTTGGTTGTCAAGATGCATTTGGCAGTTTTAGCCTTTCTCGCTGGCAGTTGCCCACAGCAACCTAACAAAAGGCAATTAATCACACACTGCTGCTGCCTGGGCAGCTTCTTTAAGATCTGCTCCAGAGAAGAAGAAAGAGAAACAGGAGGCTGCTTTTGAAAGCAAACTGAAACCAGGAACATAAAATGAAAAACAATTTCTCTTTATTATACTCCCCCAAACATCCACAAAATGTGATTGGTTTTTTTTTTTTTTGAGAAAGACATATGTTCCTTTGCTCCTTCCACTGAATTCCTCATTGTACACAGATTTTTAAAATTTTAATTTTAGTGGCCCGCTGTTGCTGAGGTCATGACCTGCCAGGAACTATTGGCTAAACATTGTGAAACAAGCAGATATTGGACAAAAGATCAATATGTTCCTTTTATATTGCCGCTCAACGTGGCCTGCTTGAGCAGTTAAACACATTTTTAGGAATTTGCTTCGTGAAAGAAATGAAAAGGTAGATGTAATGTATATGCTTGGAATAGCTCTTTCTTGACTGTTAGAGAGGTCAGTTTGAGGCTTGATGATCTAAATCTGTATTTCACAACCTTGCCAACTTGAAGATGTGTGGACTTTGACTCCCAGAATTCCCCAGCCAGCATAACTGGGAATTCTGGGAGTTGAAGTCCACGCATCTTCAAACTGCCAAGATTGGGAAGCACTGATCAAAATAGGAAAAAATATATATAATTGCAACAGAGCACCATGATCTTGTCTTCAAGTCACAATTCAAGCATATATTGTATAAATACTATATTTATTAAATATCTTTACAATTCATTTAAATGTATTTACAGATCCTATTCTTGCACAAATTATACTCCAGACATTCAATTCACATAATTTAAATTTCCTTTTTTTTAGGCAAGTTACAGGTCACGATAGTCTCATTTAACAAGAAAACGGCATCCTCATTAGATAAGCTATCCTTGTCTCAGGAGAAGGAAAAATAAAACAAAATAAAAATGCAACCCCCCCCCCCAAAAAAACCCCAGGTCTGGATTGAGTCCGGTTTTCCGCGGGAAAGAACATTCCCGTAATTTATTCTCTTTGCTTCCACTGTGGACGGTTTTTAAATCGCGATGTCCTTCTCTCCCAGTTGCTTTTTTTTTTTTTCCCCTATTCGGATGGGGAATCAAGCAGGATACGGAGGGGCTCCTAAGAAAGCAGAAGGGAACCTTCTGCAGAAGGGGGGGGGCACTAGGAAGCTGCCAAGCCCCCCCCCCCGCTTCAAGGAAGAGGTGGGCAACGATGTCCAGGCTCCCACTCCCAGCTTTGGGGGGGGGGCAGTCTCACCTCTGCAATGCAGCAGATTTTGAGGGCAGAGGTGCAAAAGAGAAGGGGGGGGCGCTGGGAAAACCTGGTCTTTGCCCACCCCACCCTCGAGAAGTCAGTTTGCTGCCTTCCAGGTCGCTTTGGATCCCGCTGGCGATCTTTCATCCCCCCACCCTGAGCAAAGAAAACGGAGCCCAAGACGAGCGCCCCCTTCTCATTAAGGAGCAGCAGAGCCCCCTCCTCCCTCTTCACACCTGAAAACGCAAAGGTGGGCCCTGAAGCTGCTCCAATGAATTGGGGAGGTTCTCACACGTGCCCCTTCCCCCAAAGCAGGTTGGGGGTCTAGGTCTCCTCCGTCCGTCCAGGTATCCCCCGACTGAAGAGAAGGGAAAATGGAATGTGGCCAAATCCTAACCCCGGAGGGCGCCCCGAGAAAACGCACCCACGGCTTGGGGGGCCAGCGGGAAGGTCGTTGCTGCCAAGGGCAGGAGACTCGCCTTTTCCTTTTTAATTTTTTTTTTTTATTTTTTATTTGTAAAAAAATAAAATTCTTGTGCGCAGACAGCTTTAAGTTCCCAGGAAGAAACCGGAGCCTTTTGGGTTTGAAGGCTCACCTTAAAAGGGGGGAGGGAGAGATCTGAAGCATGCAACAGAATTTGTTTATCATACAGTATTGCTTTTGAAAAACAGATGGCCAAAAGCTACAAACTGGACGGGAGTCTTTGGTGTCCCAGAGGGGAGGGGAGGAAGGGGAAAATGCAAGTTTAAAAGTTCAATTTGACCATGGCTAAAAAAAAATAGTCCTAAGGAACAAATGGCTTGGCAGATACGGCTAAGAGTAGAAATTGCTTTAAATGAAACAAAACCAAGAATAGCCCACCAAGGCTTAGGAATTCACGGCTACTTCGAAAGCAGCATTTCTCCACCTCCGCAGCTTTAAGATGAGTGGACAACTCCCAGAATTCCCCAGCCAGCATAGAATTCTGGGAGTTGAAGTCCACCCATCTTAAAGCTGCCGAGGTTGACAAACAGTGTTTAAATCATCTTCCCCTCTATAGTTAGCCAACAGTTACAGAAAGGCTGAAGAGAGGGCAGCAACAATAACGCCTGCTTCAAGATCGCTAGAGACCCAGGACAATGGAAAAAATGGTGAGAGAGTTGGTAGCTCCTCGGGGTTTGCTCGAAATAAGAGATGGCACCTGCAAAACACAAACTCCCCATTAAGAGCTACCTACTCCTCCGACGAAGCAAGAAAGAGGTTGCATAAAGACACATTAATATACAATTTCTAGCAGAAGATACTTAGGTCCAGCTGGTTCAGCATCAGGAACAGGAGGGGTTGAAATGGTTTGTACAACGTTACAATGGGCCGTGTTTTCATATTATACGATTTTCGTCATTTCACTGTATGCCACCCTGTATCCGTACCCCCCCAAACCGATCCGTTTTATCAAGCTACGTTGTTAAGGCATCTGGACAAAAAACAAACAAACAGGTGATTTAAAAAAAACACTGGAAAAATTGGTTGGAACAGCTTCTAAAAATGAAATTGTTTTGCCCGTGATCGTCGCAAATGAAATGCCTGTTAAAAGCAGGATGCATTGAAACAGCCACATGTACACGGTACATGTTCATTATAAATAAAAGCCGGACACAATTATGCAAATATACAGTACAACCACCAAAAATAATATTTAAAACAGGCTGAGGTAACCTGGCAGTAAAAAAAAAAAACCCTTTTTGTGAGTTTGTTTGTTTTTTTAAAAAAGGGACTGTTGCTTTTACTCGCCAAGATTATCAACTAAACATCAACGTGACCCAACTTGCTCTATAAAACATGGCTTTTCGTTGCAAAGGACTTTTGTTTTTCCTACTGCAAACACAAAAAGAAAAAATTATGAAAAACTGACCGAGATTTTTATACATACTTCTTAGGCGTTATGTATAAATAAAAACAGCTATTTATATATATATATATATTTTTACACAAGCTTAGAAAAATGGGGCAGGGGAAATTATAGCTACTGAGAAATTGGACTGCAGTGTTTTGTCACTGCCAAAAAATAAAATCTGCGATATTGCCAATTAGCAGTTAAGAGCCCGTAAACATTTGTTTTCTTGGGGAATCCTGTACGCAAACTCACCACCACCAAGCGCTGCCCACTTATGCAGCATGACGGCTGCCGGAAGCCCACTCAGCATCGCTCCTCCATCTCCCTCTTTCATCTTTAGGCTTCTCTGCAACGACCTGGGAGAAAAACCCAGCTACGAAAGGGCCCCCGCAGGCCAACATTCCCACTGCTATAACAGTTTAGCACCTTCACAAACACTCTCGCACACGTGCATACCACAATTCACGACGGGTTGTGTGTTTCAAATTGAGTAACAAAGCTCCTGGCTAATACCATACAGACCGATATTTTTCAACCAGAGCAACTTGGAAGTTGTGCGGACTTCAACTCCCAGGACGCCACAGCTGGCACATCTTCCAAGTTGCCCAGGTGGAAATGTATAGAGAGAGACCAAAAGGCTCACTGCACTTGGAAAGCCTACAGAGACTTCAGCTACAAACACAAGCTTCCCAACACGTTAAGCCAAGGGCAGGATGTACTGACCTTCCACCAGTGAGAATTGGCCTTTTTCTAGCCATGCCCTCTCAGGACCTCGCAGAGGTTGTCTTTGCTGATTTGAAACAACCCCTCCCCCCCCCAATTAAACTATGCAGAGCCGATCTGGCGTTCTTGTTTGCTCACCTTTTCTTCAGAGCTGTAAGTAAGATTATTCCCTCTCCAGTCCCCTCTCCACCCTGCTTTCTATGCAATAACTACGAGTCAATTTTGAAAGACAGGCTTCAAGTATTGAAAAATTCTTCATTTCTTGCTTGGAGGTATCCCCAGGTGTCCTCCAGCTGAGGTTTGGGGCCAGGGGTTTTGACTGCATCTTAAAACAGGCAATGGACGTAAGGTGTGATTAGCCACTGAGGTCAGATGCACAGAGAGAGAGAAAGAGAGAGAGAGAGAGAAATTCCTGCCCGCAGGAAAATAGTCCATGTGAAGCTGAGTACAGTGGGAGACACACCAGTCTTTAAAAGCTGAGCATTACAGCCGGTCAGTCTGTGTATTCAGCTACTATAGAGAGAAGAACAGTGATGTCATCGGGTTTCCCACCTAAAAAGCAAGACATGGAGAAGTTTTTAAAGTATTATAAAAAAGCAGGGAGTTGGACTAGAAGATGTGGTGCTATAAAACAGGAGGAGCAAAATTAAACAATCCTACCCCCTAAACACATAGTCGGAAAAAGGAAATTTAACCCCAAAAGGGATCAAAATTATCTACAGCCTCCTCTAAGTTCTTTGGGAAATGTCTTTAAGTGCTCCAGCAGTTCAAACCTGCCAAGAAATTGAGACAAATCTGCACACACCAAAAAATAAAATAAAACTGAACCATTTGATACGGTGGCAGGTATAAAAATATGCATGCACAGGTCAAGGTCTTGCACCAAATTAGCACCCGCATTAACAGGTTCTCTCGTTTCGTGCACTTCTGCAAACTTAATTCTAGCCAACATTGCCTTCTAGAGCAAACACGCGGGAGGGTTGACCTCTTCTTCCCGCTCAGCCGCTCTTACCTCTTACATTCAGTCCATTGTCGCACGCGAACTGTGCAAAGGGAGACATGTAATTTGGATCGTAGGCCAGCTCGTGGGCTTGTTCAGCAATACTGCTTGCCGTCTGCTGGATGCTTTCGTAATTTGAGTTCTGGGTGGAAGGCAGCAAAAAGAAATGGTGAACGTTTAAAGAGCCTTTGCCTGTTTCACCTATCGCAAGCATGCGGTGTAACAGGACCGTTAACACAAAGCAACTGTGTCTTCTCGAGTCAAAAGGCCAAGCACAAATCCCCCTCTTTCTAAGGCTGCAGATTTGAGTGGATCAGATTCTGAAAAGCAGATTTTCAGCTCTCCGATAACCGTCCGTCTGCTTTTGGAATTATAGGGGAAGGACAAGAGCAGATTAAAAGATAAAGCTGCCCTCAACTTTAAACTCTTACTCAGCTCCCGCTTGCACCTTTGAACCCGGAGAAAAGATTCAGAAGGCCACAGACTCACGGAGCAGAGGACCAGAAAATTCTGCCAGGGGAGAAAACCCACCAAGATTTGCCCCAAAGTTGCACCCTGCCCTTTAACGCCAACAGGCTGCCAAGGCAACACTGCAACTATGGGAGGAGAACAAATGTTATCTGTCAGGGATCTTGCTGCATTTTTAATTTTTCTGCGGTGGCACCCACTGAAAGCTCTGACCTTTAGTTTTTTCAGTTCCTGGAGGATCATGTAGTCCGGCATGTTGTCGAAGAGTCCGTCTGTGGCCGTCAGGATGATGTCCCCCAGCTGAACATCGAAGGTGCTGCTGTCGGCAGCATCCGGGCTGAGGAGACGCCAAGAAAGGAGAGAGAGATGTGAAATGCTGAGGGGTCTAAGGCTTAAGCTGTGCAAGAGGGGCAGTTCTCCCTACGCCAGTCTGCTGAACCCAGGGCAGCTCACTCTCAGGAAACAGGCTTTACGTCTGCCATGACCAAAGCCCTGTTTTGAAGGGCCCTCAAAGAGAAAGACAAACGCCTGAAGGTGATGAACCAGACTGAGCCACTGATGGAGGCTTTAAAGCACCCGGGGCCAAGGAGGGCGCTTTGCCCAGCTCAACACTTTGCAAGGACCCCGATGAGGGTCCCCAAAAGGCATCCAAAAGGCTCCCCCTTGATCAGTTCATCACTACATTTCTTCCCTCTTGCTCCAGTTCTCTGCCTGGTGTCTGTGCCCTTTGCAGCCAGGGCTCCTGTTGGACAAAATGTGCTTTTCCACGGCTCCCCTGTCAGAGCTTGGGGTTCTGCCAAGTGGGAGTTCACGGGAGTCCAGCACAGCTGGAAACTTTCAAGGGGTCTGAAAGACAAGCGGTAGTCATGTGCCTCCCTTTTCTGGCTGTCAGGAGGTGCCGTCTCACTGCTGGAGTATGTAAGCAGCAGCAGCAGCAGAACCCTTTCCAAAATCCGAGATGAAGAGAAGGTCCCTGACAGAACCAGGCAGCACCACATGACAGCCGTATTTGGGGGGGGGGGTCGACCTATTTCCCCAAAGCCTCTGAAAGCAGGACAAGAAACAATGGATGAAAACTTATCCAAGAAAGATCCAACATAGAACTAAGGAGGAGAACAATTTATCAGAAGTTGTGGATGCTCCATCCTTGGAGGTTTTTAAGAAGAGACTGGAGGACCATTTGTCTGAAAAGGGATAGGGGTTGGACTAGAAGACCTCAAAGGTCCCTTCCAGGCCTAGGATTGTATGGTTCTGAGATAGATAGATAGACAGACAGAAAGAAACATAAGACAGATGGAGGGAGGGATGCAACAGCTTGCCTCCAGAAGCTGTGGGTGCTCCAACACTGGAGGTATAAGAAGAGATTGAATAACCATTTGTCTCAAATGATACCGGGTTTCCAGCTTGAGCAGGGGGTTGGACTAGAAGACCTCCAAGGTCCCTTCCATCTCTATTATTCCGACAACCTATTTGGCACCCCCATCTCCATCAGCAAGTCAGCAACCCTCAACATTTTGTAATGTTTTTCTCTCACATTCCTGCACCTCCCATCCCTGTAACTCAGCTACGCCCTCCCGGGACAATACGGTATGTACCCGGCGAGGTTTTAAAGCCAAACACACTCCCTGCCGTCATGTCAATATTTCCCTTCATAACACGTAACGGTGGTTTTGTTTTACAAACAAGTCGCCCGGGGGGAAATAGGAAAGACTGAATCCGATGCCTCAGCCGTTGTGGAGAGAAAGCATCAGGCAAGGCCCGAGCGCATAAAAATAGCACCATGCTTTGCGTTTGACTCCTTAGTTCCACGAACTGATGATCAGCCACAGGAAGGGAAGTGAGGAGTATTGCCTGAGAATATAGCCCCCCCCCCAACACTAGCAAAAGAAATCAATCTACTTAAACCAGTGTTTGTCAGCCTCGGGTACTTCCAGATGGGTAAACTACAACTCCCAGAACTCCCCAGCCAGCAAGGAGTTGACGTCCACCCATCTGGAAGCTCCCGAGGCTGACCAACACTGGTTCCCATGCCACAAGTAACCAAACGGCATCTGCCATCACTGGAAGGACAAAAAAACATAACGGAAAGAAAAACCAGCAGCTAAACCTCTCAGGAGTGTCAACTCCAGCCAGAGGGAAGCTGAGCTGAAGATGCAGCTTCTCCTGAGCGTTCCCGACAGACCCACCCCGGGTGGGGCAGGCTGCCTCCCCTGCCCGCCACGCCCCACGGAGAGCCTCACCTGTCGCTGAAGACGACCCCCTCGGCTTCGGGCGGTGCTATCGAGAGCTGGAACGGAGTATTGAAGTAGTGCTGCTGCTCGTCAGAGCGGTGCACCACGCGGCCCCCCCGGACCACCAGGAAGCCCGAGTCGCCCAGGTTGGCGGTGTGCAGACGCCGAGTGCTCCGATCCAGGACCACGATGCAGGCTGTGCTGCTCCCTAGGAAGGAGGGTTGGACGTTCACCTGGGAGGAACGCCGCTCCGGCTGCTCTTACCTGGGCAGCTGAGGCAGGGAGTCCCCTGCAACCCTCACTCCTTCAGGGACCGTTCAAAGTTACAACAGCATACAATATCCCCATGGTGATTAAAATTTGGAGGCTTGCCAACTGGCTCCTGTTTGTAACGGTCACAGGGTCCCGAGGACACACGATCCCTTTGTGGCCTTCAGACAAGCCGAGTCAACGGATTCACTTAACAGCCGTGTTACTAACTTAACGGCAGTGATTCACTTAAGAACCGTGGCGAGGAAGGTTGTAAAAGGGGGCAAGACTCGCTTAACAAAGGTCTCACTTGGCCACAGAAATTAGGGGCTCTGTTGTGGTTGTAGGTTAAGGACTACCTGTAAAGGCCAGGCTCACAGTCCAGCTTCTGAAATACCCCTGGTTACCCCAACCACCTTGGAACAAAAGCCGGAATGAGGCACAAATTAGGCAAAAAATGCCCTAAATTGAGAATTTGGGCCAGTTGCTTCCAGCTGAGTTTTAATCCGCTGCTACCTGCCGTTCTGAGGGAACAGACTTTGTTTCCTCCTTCCGCTCTGGTTAAAAGCTGGGATGTGAAGCCCCTCAAAGGCAGGAGCAGAATTCTCCCCCAAACTGACAAACCGCCAGCCGAATTCCTTGCAGCGCCGGTCCCAGCCTCCCTTTATTGAGGGTCTGCAAAGATGGAGGACCCCCCACCCCATTCCAACGAGAGCGAAGGGGTCTTCTTCCCGGCCTTCAACCCACACCAAGCGAGATAAACCCTCGGACAACAGAAGCAGCACCATCCGTGCAGGACCCAGGCAGGAACAGGTGTTTGGAGACCGCCATGAAATCCCGAGGGATTAAGGAGTGGAACGTTTCTAATGAAATGGCGCTAAGGCACATCTCTCCAAGGACAGCCTCGGTGGCCATCGCGGAGGAGGAAAAGAGGGTGCAGATCGGAGCAGGCTTTCTCCTCGAGAGGACCATTCCTGGCCAGGGGCCCTTTAAAGGAGGAGCTGGGCCCCCAGACCCGCTGGACGGCATGGGATCCAGGGTCTGAATGGAGCCAAGGAGACAATTCTCCGGCCGGGGCTGTTTGTGAGACGTGTCACGGGAAGGGCAACGTCTCCTCTTGGGTTTAGCTGAGGGCGCTTAAAAATAACCCACATTAAGAGAGAGAGGTTTCTTGGCAAAGCAGCCTCGCGTCAGGTGAACAGCGAGCAAAGCCGTTACTGGGCCAAAGGTTCCCCGTTTCCCTCGGCACTCGAGATAAAATGGGAAGACGTTGATTTCTAAGAGAGACAAAGCTGGGGGGAATGGAACATGTGCAGAGGTCCACAAGGCAGAAGCAGAGAACACCGGATCTCAAAGGGCCTTCTTACCGAGCAGAGGGGCTTTGTGCTGCAGCAGCTCACAGTAGCTTGTGGTGAGGATCCCCACAGGGTGGCTGGGCACGAACCGTCCTTCCTTTACCAAACGTTCACAAGTGCGCATCAGAGTCCCTGAGAACTGAGACGGGTCAACGCCGTAGTCTCGCCAGCCTCCGACGCCGTCGGCCACCCCTTCGGAAGAGAGAGAGAGAGAGAGAGAGAGAAAAATGTCAGCCCTTCAAATACTGGCCTATTCTGGCTTTATCACCATCTCTAACTCAAGCTGAGTTTGTGTATCAGTGATTGCACGACCTCTGTAGAGGCCATATGCTAAACAAAGAAACCCTTCTAAAAGGCACTGTCTAGCTGCTCTCCGAGTTGGCGCCACACAGCGGCAGTCTCCAAACTTGGCAACTTTAAGACTTGCGGAGTTCAACTCCCAGAATTCAGTGCTGGCTGGGGAATTCTGGGAGTGGAAGTTCACCAGTCTTAACGTTGGCAAATCTGAAGACCCCTGCTACATAAGGAGGAATAGCTGAAGGTACTAGGGTGCATTTAGCGGAGTGAAGAGAGGACTTAGGAGCAACACGATGGCCATCTTCCAAAGCCTGAAGAGCTGTCCCAAGAAAAGAGCCTCACTTTATTCTCCAAAGCATCAGAAGGCAGGACAAGGAGCAATGGGCAGAAGATCAGGAGAGGGAGAGCCAATCTGGAAATAAGGAGGGATTTCTTGACATTGAGGACAACCAATGGAACGGGCCTTGCCTCCCGAAGTTGTGGGTGCTCCACCTCTGGAGGTTTTCAAGAAAAGATTGGCCACCATTTGTCTGAGATGGGATGAGGGCTCCTGCCTTGGGGGTTGGACTAGAAGACCTCCAGGGTCCCTTCCAGCCTTGTCATTCTATGAATGCAACAGAGCAGTGTTTCTCAACCACACAACTTTAAGATATGTGGACTTCAGCTTCCAGAATTCCCCAGCCAACACTGCAACAAGCACCAGTTTTTATTGCAAACGCCCAAAGGAGGAACTGATGCAGTGGTGTAAGGACCACAGAAATCAAAAAGCAGAGCAGTTCTCAGCAGGACCAAGGACAGCCCCCGTTAACTCTTTTTCTGGCATTATTTCCACAAAGACATTCCCATTTCTCTATGGCCACACGTTTACGAGATGCAGAATAAAGGGACAACAGATACATTAGGGGAGAGAATGTCCTAGTCCCAAAGGTAATTTTGAAATAATTGCAGGAATAGACACTACACAGTTTCAGTACCAAACTGAAATAAGGATATTTTGTGTCCCAGAAAATGAAAATGCTTATAAGAAATAACGACCAGACAGATACGGGAAGATGGAAGGCAACACTTTTTGGAAAAGCCAGCTGACCGATTTAACACAGGACGAAAAATTCAATCTTTTGCTGCAGTTATGAAGATCATCATACAGCATCGTTCAGCAGGCTGCATGAGTCACTAATCAGGAAATCTGCTTAGGGCATATCTCCTTTGGAACAAAAAGCCACTAATCTCTGGCCAAAAAGTTAAAACTGATTTGTTACATAAAATGAAGCCTACTAATCTGTAAACTGCCCTTTATTTATGTTCCCGGCTGAAACAGCAATTAAAGCTGAACGGTGGCATGACCCATGTGATCTGCCAACATGTTGCAGCTAACCACCATCAAACTGACCCCAAAAATAGTCGCAGTGTGGCTGTGCAAAGTTTATTTCTTTTCTAGTATTCCCATCAGCACAACATAGGACCCCCTTCTCTATACCAGACAGCACGAAACACAATTGCAATGCCTTCCTTCCTTCCCTCCCTCCCTTTTCTTTCTTCCTTCCCTCTCCTTTTTTCCCTTTTATTTTTTCCTTCTCTTCCTTTCCTCCTTCTCTTTTCCTTCCCTCCCTTCCTTCTGCACCAAGGAAACACGTATGTGTTGAACTTGGAACTCAAAAGCCAAGCCAAACCTCCAAACTACAAGCCAGGAAGAATCTCTGCCTCTTGGCTGACCCAAAGCCTCTCAGACTTATGAATGCACAGAGTGGGAAGTCACCGATTTCCCAAGAACAGGGAAATACGCCTAGTGGATTTTTGCTGTCTGTCTCCTGTTCGGTTTCCATGTTTCTGCAATCTGCAGAGAAGGCGGCCAGCGTGGTCCCCAGAGTTACTGCTTTTGGCACGTTATATACGTGGATTATAATGACGTGGCCAGCTGCAGAGGACGAGAGCGCTGAGCAACCGAAGGCGAAGGAAGAGAGAAGCGTTGGGGAATCGGCAGAAAGCTCCCAGCGCCCCCAAACTGGTGAGAGCTTTTTAATTCCCATTTGCAAAAGCCGCTGATGACTAAGAACAAGAAGGACACGAAACCTTTTTATGGAACACTGCAGTGACGCCTAGAAATGGCAACGGGTTATTAAGATTTACTCTCTGTTCCAGCATCAGCCAGCAGCCTCCATCAACTAAATGGCCTACAATTTCTCAAGGATAAGAAAGCAGATCTGAGGCCGAATACAAAGGTCAGCCAGGCTGAATAATTGACACAGTGGCAAAGTTCAAAGGCATCCCTGGGTGATTTGCCTTTCAGCCTACTGGAATAGTCCCCTAATTTGTCAAGGGCTGTCCTTCAAAGGAGACTTCCTAATTTGCAAAGTAAATTGGCCAGGCTTGCATCAGCAAGAGTCTTCCTTTTTTCATTAAGCAAGGTCGCCCTGATGAAACCGGCAATGAAATTGTGGAGAGAGACCTCCTTGAAGGTGTGTTAAGACAATGGCGCGGACTTCTAAACAGGCGTGTGCCAACAGGAAATTGTTTGGGTTCAACGGACAAAGTCACCTTCTGCTATTTCTAATCAGAGCTAGGAGTTCCCAGAATCCAAAGCCAGGGACTTATTTCAGCTTCTAATTTGCTGACTTGGGAGCAGCAACAATTCAAGGGCAAACACACACTAACAGCCTCCACCACACTGCAACCATCACTCTCTATGCTTCAACTCGGTCTACCTGAAGAGACTTGAAGAAGACAAGGTCTCCTTAGATCAGCGGGTCTCAACTTTGGCACCTTTAAGGAGGGTGAATTTCCCTATGCTGGCTGGGGAATTCTGGGAATTGAAATCCACCCATCTTAAAGGTGCCCAAGTTGAAAAGCATGAACTCAGGACATCTCCCTGGCTAAAGGAAATGTCCTTCAAGTAAATATTTCTGATTATTTAACATGAGCGATTCCTCTTGGGCAACCAAGATTCTCAGAAGATGCTTATGCTCGACAACTTCCTCATTTGTTCTCATGAATCAGGCACTTCCTCCAAAATGTGTTATCTTTCCAGGTGGGCCCACCCGATTCAGATTGCTAACTGATCCGGCATGTAGTTTTTGTTTTTTTTTTAAACGGACGTTCTAGAATTTAACTCAGGAGATAAGACTCAGGAGGAGAAGCAGCCAGACCTGGTCCATGCTTGTCGTTGTAACCCTAACCTTTGGGGATTCTGTCCCCCATGGAAGGATCACCTTGCAGCATTTTAAAAATGTGTTCCTGGTGATGACAGGAAAAAAACATGCAGAAAAATCTAGGGTGAACAGGCTTTCCCCTCTCACCTAGAAATTGATTTGCCTTTGACAATCAAAGATTGAGACAATACAATTCCTAAATCCACATATTTGCAAAGATGAGTGAAGGTATTATGCATACAAATGTGTGTTGGTTTTAACCTGCAAAGCCTTTATTTGGCCACCAAGTATACCGAGGATGGACTCAGAAGTTAGAGCAGCTCAAGAGCGTAGAGAAATTTTAAGGATTTCCCCAGATACCCAGATATGATGTTTGCCTTAATATGCAGGGTGACTTAATCTGCCAGTCCGTTACAGAGGCTACTACACTGCAGTTGAGGCCTGAAACTCAAAGAGCCTGATGGCTTATCTAAAGCCAGCCTACCACTCCTTTCAAAATCCCGGATAAGAATTTTAGGACTTCATGTCTCCAGGACTTTTGGCTGCAGAGACGGACCGGGCCACTTTGCAAGTAAAAGGATTTGGGCCTTGGTTCAGTCTCCTGCATAGTGCAACTCCTTGAGGAGCGTATTTTACAGGTCACACTGATTACACAACAGGCAAAAGTTGTGTGTACTTTTTTAACTGCTGGTCAAATGAGGTCACGGCTTGGAAGTTGAGCTAACTCCAGGTGTCCATGCAGGTCTTCCCCCTAGAAGTAGCTCATCTGACTTTTCCATAGCCTTTCCTAGCTAACAGAGGCTTTCTAAGGAGAAAGCCAAAGAATTTTTGCCTCATTCCTACCACCGAAGGAGAGAGAAAGAGAGAAACATCTAGGCAACTGGGCCTAGATGGAAAAAGAAACAGGCAAAATAAGGCAACTTTTTGGCTGAAGACACTCCGAAAGGATCAAAATGTCCAGGGTGCCAAAATAAACGATGTGTCATCAGCTGCATTTGAGAAGCATAAATTAAAGACATCTGAAATAGGAAAACATGGAGCTGATGGGAAGTAGGGAAGGAAAGAGGTCAAGCCAGGACACCAGGAAAAGCAGAAGGGGGTGGAAGGATGCCATGAGGTACCCTCCCCACAAAAAAAAAAAAAAAAAAAAAGATCTAAGCGAGAAATCACAGCAGCAACCTGAATCCTCCTTACTGTGGGCTTTGGGCTGGAATCAAGAAATTGCCACCTTTACCTCAACCCACCCCCCAATTCCATCTGCAGCGCCTCCTGGCTGAAAAGGAGAAAATCATTGGGGTGGGTGTCACAAGGCATCAAAGGGTTTAAAGAGGAATCGCCATTAATCAGGGCAGGTGGGCTGGCAGGGAAGGAGCTGGTGAGGTGCAGCCCTCAAACGCAGTGCAGAACCAGGATGAATCACACCAAGTTCACTCCGGGTTCCTCCCGCCTTCCCATCACACACACGGCCCAGTTGCCTCTGCAGAAAGCAAGCACTGCACACACAGCCTACTCGGTTTCAGCCGAATTAAGGACATCCAGGTCACAGGTCAAGGTCTCCGCGTCCTGGGGCCTTCTAGCCCAAACCCAGAGATGATAAAAGAAAAAATAATAATAAACCGAAGCAGCAACCTGCCTTGTAGACCTTTGCTCTCTTTGATACCTCTGTGAGCACCACACTGGAGATTCTGCAGCGTTTCTCTCCTCCTGCATGGGCTGGAAACCCCAGCTGAGAGCAATGGGTGCCTTTCTTTAGTGTTTACTCACTAAAGGCTACCAGAGTGATGTTAACCAAATACATTTCAGACACAGGAGGAATGGCTGCCATTAAACATACCTCCCAACACTGCAACCTGGAATCCGGTGGTCTCAGAAATGCCTGGAGGGGGTCCCGGAAAGCCCCTCCCTCCCAGAGGAGCTGCAGTTTCTCTTGCTGCGGCTACCCATCTGGAGCGAGCCCTGGAAGTTCCTGCAGGCCTGGCCGGCCCCGTTTGACCTCTGGCACCCCACCCAATGTCACGGGGGCGTCTCTTCACCTTTGCCCCTGGCCAGGACCCCAGGGCAGAGGGATGGGCAGCCTCTTCCGCACAGGGCTGGCCTGGGGCTCAAGGTTAAGGGGGAACCCCCCCCCTCACTGTGCTTCAGACAGGCAAGAGAAGGCAGGACTGGGCAATGCGGCCTTGGAATAATGGAAGGCATCGCCGTTTTGCTCCTGCTCCTCTTCAGGCTCTGCCAGGGAGCAAAGAGAGGGGTGCTTGGAGGGTGCCGTGGCTGGGCACCAGGCTGAGCTTCAGCAGTGAGGCAAGCGGCGGCGGCAGCCTGGATCAGCAATTAGGCGGCTCTTCCCAGCGCCTCTAGATATGTAATCTGGACGGCCCAGCAACTGCTACCTGGGGCTGCTCTTTCCAAAGGCGGGAGTCGAGGGGGAATGGGAGGAAGGAAGGAAGGAAGGAGGGAGGGAGGGAGGGAGGGGAGGAATGGGGAGGGAGGAAAGGAAGAAAGGAATGGGGAGGGAGGGAGGGAAGGAAGGAATGGGGAGGGAGGGAGGGAGGGAAGGAATGGGGAGGGAGGGAAGGAAGGAAGGAATGGGGAGGGAGGGAGGGAAGGAAGGAATGGGGAGGGAGGGAGGGAGGGAGGGAGGGAAGGAAAAGCAAAGGTAGTCCGGGGGCCCCTTCCAACCCCCCCCCAGAGCTTCCCACCCCACTCACCCAGCACATCGGCCGTGCGGTGCCGGGCCACGAAGCAGGCGTCGTCGCCGTAGCACATGCCCTTCTTCAGGATGCCCTTGCGGAAGTCCTTGCCGAAGCCGCAGCTGGCCGTCACCAGGCTGTAGTCGCGGGAGTCGGTCTGCGAGAGGCCGCCCAGGACGGCGCGGGCCACCAGCCGCCCGTAGGAGAGCACCGAGAACATGGCTGGGCCGCCCCGCCGAGGACGGGCGGGGGGGGCGCGCCCCCTCCTCCGCCGCCTCCTCCGGCAGGCAGCCCCCTCCTCCGCGGCCCGGGCCCGGGGGGCGCCCCTGCCCGCGCCGCCCCCCCGCCAGAGTGGGGGAGGGGCCCGCGAGCCCCCTCCCCAAAGGCGCCGCTCTCCGAGGGGGGAGCCGGGGGGGGCTCTGCGCGGCCTAGCGCTCCCTCGCTCGCCGGGCTCGCCCTTCCTCAGGCGCTCACAGCCGGCGCGCCGGCTCGGGGGAGCCCCGCCGCCATCGCCCGCCTCGCAGCCGACGCCGCTGCCACCACCGGCTCTTCAGGGAAAGGAGAGGCGAGCGAGGTCAGCTCCGCCTCCGCGCCGGCCCGGGGCCCGTCTGCGCTCAACATCCGGGCTTCGAAGGACACCGCCCCGCGAGGCCCTCATTGGTGGCGCGTCCCACATATTTACATACGCTGCCCCAGGATGGGCAATGATTCGCCCGGCTCGGGTGTCGCTCTCGCGGCCTGCCATTCGCGTCTAGGACTACCGGTCCCGGCATGCTGCGCGGCCGAGGAGCGGCCGGCTTCCCCCGTGTTCGGGCGGCGCAAGGCTTGCCGGGAAGTGGTGTTTCTTCCTGAGCGGAGCACGTGCGCGGCTCCGAGCGGGTCACCTTCTTCCCTGCCAAGCAAGAGCAATGCTAGCTGGGGAATTCTGGGAGTTGAAGTCCATATAGATCTTAAAAGGTGCTGAGATTGGGACACACTGCACAAGAGGTGGTCAGTGAGGGGCGTTTTCCTCCCTTGTAAAAAAATTCAAGCTTTCAAAAGGAAAAGCAAGGAAACCCTGTCCTGTTGATTTCTGGCCCATTGATCTTATGCATATTTACTCAAAAGTAATCCCGCTAGATTCAGTTAGCTTTCGTCAGGTAACACTTGTAAAGATTGCTGCTGTACGTTGAAAGCTGCCCTCTCTACCATGCCTGCATTTCTGTCCCTAAGGGACTCTTACTCTCTGTTTCAAAAGACGCCACATTAATTAAACATGGCATTTCAATCTAATTTTTCTATATATAGTTTTTTAAAGATGCTTGGAAATCAATGAGGGGCTCCTTTGAGGTTTCTTACATCTTTTGCAGGAGGGAAACAAACGGGAAGAATTCCAGAAGTATAATTGCGTCAAATTCTTGCAACCAAGATGCTGGAGAACTAAATGATAAACTGGTTTGCTTGTTGTGGCTTGGCAGAATGTAGAAATGCTAGTTGTTACACTGCCTTGTTCAAGAAACTGTGGTTTATTGCAACGTATGCCTCTTTGCATGATGGCGGGGGGGGAGAAGGAAATGAGATAGAAGGGAACTCTGACGAGGGCAGATGTGCCAACCTGTTAAATTTCTCATCGGGCATTGCTAAATTATCTTCCTTTTAAAACACAGACATAAACAAAAGCATGGCAAGATCTGCCAGGGACCAAGTACAGAAAATCTGGACAGACGGAACAAACCGGCTGAGTAAATGGAAGAATGACACATGCTTTGCTTTGCCTTCATTTAAGAAGGCGGGGGAATTCTCGGTGGCACCCAAAGATTGTGCGATTTCGCAGATTTCGGAAGAAGGGATGACGGTTTAATTGGCTCAGGAAAGCCACCAAAACAGCACAGATTTCTCCAAAAGGTAAGAGGGGCCAGATGCTTAATGGAGGCGATGAGTGCCCAGATTTCTTTTGGCAGGACGGGGCAATACAGGAGAGCAGTCACAGTGCCAATCTCCTCCTCCTCATTTTGCAAAGTAGCATCTGGAAGTCGATAAAATTTTTACCCAAGAAGAGATTTCACCATACTTCATCTGTTTCCATTCAGGTGTGGCCTTCCTCCTCCTTTGCATGCCACTTGCAAGCCAGAGGACTTGGAAGCAAGATTGTAATCCCGCCTCACCCTTTTCTAACCCCCACAGATATTTAATCAGATCCGTCTCAGCATTCTTCTTCAGCCTTAATAGCCGCTCCTGCCGTTCTCTAATTGCAATGCTCGCCTCGAATGGTTTCTGGATTCTTTCGCTCACAATGGAACGATCGCTGCATGAAGACGCCCTCTGTTCTTCATTTGCAAACCATTATAAAAATAAGCACAATTTTCACTACAGCTTTTTCAGGCCTAAGCACAGAGGTCTGGGAGTTGACTATACCAATCTTATTATCTTCAGCATTTCCCAACCTTAGCAACCGTTCAGACGTGTGGACTTCGATTCCCAGAATTCCCCAGCACCCACTGAGTTGAAGTCCACATGTCTTAAAATTGCCCAGGTTAGGAAACCTTGTTTTAGAGGCTTGAACTTTCTTTTTCTCTTCCTTAAACGCTGAATCAAAGGCAAGCCTGGCCTGCTTCAAATTTCTTGTGGACCACCCTGTACTATGGGCTGCAATCAAATTGTGGTGTGTTTTTTTTTTTAAAAAAAGCCCAGTGCAGCTCCGATATGTAACATTCCTAGCAAAGCAAAATGTTGTTTTCCAACCTGCAATGTGGACTTTGAATGGGGAGGGTTGCCCTCCTGCAGACGTGCCCTTTGCTCCTTGGGGGGGGGCAATTGGGGAGGATCAGAGAACATTTCAGGCCAATTTGTTTGACAGAGGAGTATTACTCTTTGTATACATGAGCTTGAATTATGACCACAGTTGAGTCCAAAATTTATTTTTGCTAAGTGAAACATTTGTGAGTTTTGCCCCATTTTAAGACTTTTCTTGCCCTAGTTGTGTTCAGTGAATCACTGAATGTAAACTTATAAATCATCCACTCCTAAGATACCAGGCAATTTGCAATGACATGAATTGCATAAATCAACTCTCTCCAGATGGTGTGGGACTACAATGCCATCATTCCCCAGTGCACATTCCTGATAAACCCACAAGTGTTACACAAGCACAACCGCCCTCTTTTCTGCTACTTTCTAGAGCAAAGTGTCTCAACCTCAGCAGCTTTAAGATGTGTACTTCCCAGAATTCCCCAGTCTCCTTGGGGAGTCGGGCATTCTGGGAGTGGAAGTCCACACAGCCTAAAGTTTTTATATGGCTGTGCTTGCCAACAGCCCTCCGCAGTCCTTCATCCACCTTATCTTCATTTTAATTGCAGGTCATCGAGTTTGTGATTTTGTCACACAACAAAACATCTGAAAATCTGGGAGGAGGGGGGTACTAGCAGTGAAGATATTTGCCTGAACTTCTTATAGGAATGAAATTTACTTGATTAAGAACAGCCTGCTCCATGGGGATCTGCTGTTCCTAATAATATAAGTTCTGCTTGGTTCATACTCATTTTGTGAGATTTTGGAAAGTCTAAGGCTGATTTACATAACCACATACTGAGCTTGTTAGTCATTAGACTCACAACAGGACCAGCTATGCACATGGGTGTGTGTGTGTTTGTGTGTGTGTCTCAAACCTGACCAAATGCAAGCAGTTAAGTGTACTTCTGTAAAATGTGCAAAAGTTGCACGTTAAATAATGCCAAAAATTGATGTGAGATCAAAAAGTGTTTTTTTTTCAAATGAGAAGTTTGGGGTTTATTATAGATAAATTCTTGCTTGGTTAGGAATGAGTCATCAGCTCACACTGGTGCCAGACTTGGAAGCTGTGGAAAATTTGACATTTGTACATAAGCTGAAACTTTTTTTTTTAAAGTTTCTTCATTTTGTTCCTATGCAGCGGGTATTTGCTAGCTTCCTTAATGCCTGTCAAAATACCTTCTGGTCCCATACTCCCTCTGCTGTTCAAACGGTGAAGCTACAGGGACCTTGATCGACAAAGGGCATTTTTCATTTAATAACCAGATAAACATTTAATTTAATTTTACAATGTAGAAGCCCCTGGCTGCACAAGATTCTGGATGGCTTATAGTTTTAAAAGCAAGAACAACCAAGAAAGTCAGAGATATCCAGCTAAAACAATCCATGACAACTCAAACAACTCAAACTACTGTATCCCAAGACTTGGGAGAATAGCTGTGTTTTTAGCCATTTTCTGAACATTAGGATGGGAACTGTTCAGAGGACACTGCTCCAGACAGCAGGTGCTCTTCAAGTCCAGCCACTCGGGTTAATTGAGCTTTCCAAAAACCAAAACACAACTTTAAGGGGTCCTGAGGGCTCTGAGTTTGGTTGTTTTCTTGCAGATGTTTCATTACCAAACTAGGTAACAACATCAGTGCATGGACTCATTTCAACTCTGAGCTACAAATATTCCCTTCTATAAGGATCACAACTTTAAGTCCCATGTTGTCTGGGGAAGGTCTTAATCTTGGGCTGGCCAAGATTGGACACCCCAACTTAGCCTTTTGAGTGAGCAATGACTGTTTTTTAACAACATCTCTGCCTGTAACTCCTCCATTCTTGTTGAAGCCTCTCGCAGCCCCATCATGTCCCCCAGACTGGCTAACACGAAGCCTGGTGCTGTCAGTTGAATAACATAAACCAGAATTACTGGGTTCCTTGTGGGAAGTGGACCAAAAGCTGCTGAGACTACAAGTCCCAGAATTCCTAACAAGGAAGAAAAATACTTCTGGAGAGGGGGGCTATAACGTCAAGCCGTTCCCTGGCAACGCCTTCCCGACATGCTTCGAGCGCAGTTCATGGCCTCCTAGAGCTCCGAAGGCTCCCAGCGTACCTTGCGCGTCTCCATGGTTACCAGCGCAGGGCGTCCAACTGAGGCCTAGGCCGCTGCGGCCTGGCAGGCGAAATGAGGCGATCGGGCGGACCGGCATCGCCGCTTCTGCTGAGGCGCTCCGCTTTCTTCCTGTTGCTGCTGCCAGGGGTTTGCCCGTCCACGGCCGGGCCTACGAGCGAAGCCCCTCCGAAGCCGTCCACCAGTCCGGGCGGAGCCACCGTGGCGGGATCAACGACAGAGCCCCCTCCTCCTTCGCCCCTGAACCGGGCGATCTCGACGCCGGGCCCCGTCGAGGCATCCAGTCCGCCTCTCACGTCTTCCCAAACGCCGCCTCATGTCGGCTCGTGGCCGGCGCCCGTGACCAAGGGTGGGTCTGCTGTGGACTGATGGAGCCTCCATGGACAGGAGCAGTCATGCCGAAGTCCCGGATTGGGCGCTTCCGGCAGAAAGGCGGAAGGAGCGGAAGGGTCTGACTGCTGTCCCTTCATAGGGTAGCAGGTCAGACTACAGTTCCCAGCATCGTAGGCCATAGGAAGCGAGCCCTAAGGATTATGGGAGTTTATTTATTTTATTTATTTGTTAAATTCATTGGCTGCCTATGTTGTTATGGGGCTACTCTAGGCGGCTTATAAGAATAAAACGGAAAAATGATAAAAAGTGTAAAGATAACGATAGCAAAGGAATAAAAAATAAACAATGGAAGTACAATAATACGACATTTTTAAAAAAGAAAAAAAAACTTAGTTGTCGGTCATTGACATCTGGAGCTCTGCCAGAGCAGCCTCATCTATGGCCCTATTTCTATAGTTTTTCTCCTTGGTAAATCCCAGATTTACACGGCTATAAGAAAAGGACCCTTGATCTGAAATTCTTTTCGTTCAATTGCTCTGAATTAAAGTAGTTCATGCAAAATGATTTTTACTGTTTTTGGCAGTCGGGAGGTGGGGCGTGTATATTTAATAAATTATGGTTCATCGCACAGTCAGCCAGATGTTCAGCCTAAATGTGGCATTTGTATCCATCTATCGAGTCCTTTCGAGGACCTGGAATAAGCAGATGTTTTTTGATGGTGTCAAAGGTATCATCATGGGATGTCAGCTGTTCCGAGTCAATCTGCCTTTTGCAATTGATTGATGAGATTTGTTGGTGCTGATGGCATTCAAGGGGTGCTCCAGATGTTTTGAAATTGCATTCAAGGTTATTATTATTACTTAACTATTCACTACCATTGTTGTCAAATCTGTTTTTCAGTGACTGAGCTATGCGTCTGTGACCTGCTGGAGGATCAATGTGACATAAACTGTTGTTGCGATCCTGTTTGCACGGCTGCGGATTTCAGTGTTTTTACTGCATGTTCCGTTCCCGTTGTCACGTAAGTGCACATGCTAGTATAGACTGACGCAAATATGCATTTAGATATTTCCACAGAGATCTCTAATGCACTCTGTTTGAACTTGCCACATCAGAATAGCAAATTGAGGATGCCGCCCTCTCGAGATTAAAAAAATGTATATTAATAGAATGAAAATAGGATGTGGTTCAAATAAGCAGCTTTTGAAGTGACAGTCTTCTCACAAAATGGTCTCAGTGCAGAATACAGAGGGCAGAGGTGTTTCATTAAAAGCTTTACTGAGTCGCAGAGCCTGTGAAGTGGAAAAACAGCATGCTGGGAAAAAGCTTTTCTTAACCTGTGAGGCTTGCTTGCAGAGAGGTTTTTGCAGCTAGGTATAAAGCGGAATTCGACCATTTGAACACTATGCAAATTTTCTAAGTTCTGCATTAGCTCTTTACATAACAGAATTGCCACTTGCTTGCATTTCTGTGCCCAATTTAATGTCCCTGGTTTCAGAAACAACAGTGGCAATGTATTTTTGCTAGTTCTCCACATTAGAACAATGCCTCCATGGCTACCAAGATATTTTTAGGGGTGCATTTTGAATACTGTGTGCACTATTAGTAACCCATTACAATCTGCATCCTGCTTTATTGTTACTTGTTCTGTAGGCCATTTCCTTTTTGGCAGCCTACCCGCTCTACTTTCCACAGCTTCTTCCACCTCTGTTGTTCTTATGCATTGTGAATTTGACAACCAAATTAAACCTTTGCGGATTAGCAATGTCCTCTTTAAATACCAATTTGCCAGCGAGTTTCCTGTTGCAGCCTCCCAACACAGATTTTGTAGCCTTTTCTACAGACCCATCTCTATTTTACAGGTCTGTCCAAACCACCGGCTTCATTTATCCAACTGCTTTCTTTTCCCTCACAACACCTCACCTTGTCTCCTTGCAGAAAATTGTCCTCTGCTCTTTGAAACAAGAATTGTGCCACCCCAGGGATTAATCCTGGCTCCTACTTGCCAGGATTGCCATCTACACACAGTATTTTGAGAACAGATGTGCCAGATTTAAAGCCGATCTCTAGATGAATTTTTACCTATGAAATCAAATACCCACCCTATCAATAGAGAGGCACAGGTTGGTTGCATGCATAGGTTTCTGGAAGATGCAGCTGAATATTTGGCACTTTCTTTTTACATTGTCTAAAATATTTTTCAAAGCCCTTTTGTGCTACTGACTGTTTGCACATGGCGGTTGGATTTCAGAGGGTTTTTAAAATCATTTATGTGCCTTGTTTCGACAACCATTTTTTTCTTCCATGTAGGAAAAAAGGCATTCCTGTATGTAAAAAAGGTTAAACGTTGACAAGCTTCTCTTTTCTCTAGAGGTGACAGGCATTTCTGCAAGCAACCAGAAGCCCACTATTCAATAGATCAATCAGCTCAGCCTCCAGAAAGGATATTTCAGCTAGTTGAAAAAGTCAACCCTTCTGTGTTCTGCCTTCAGACCTCCAACTGTAAGTAGAACAAAATTAAGCCTCGCTGAATAGTCCCTCTAAGGATAAGCAGACTGCTGGGATAGGATTGGGGGGGGGGGAATCCACAGGGTTTGAAAAAACACAGTCACGTTGAGGTGGGCATCTAGATCAGGAGTCTCCAAATTTGGCAACTTTACAGCTTGTGGACTTCATCTCCCAGAATTCCTCAGCCAACCAAGTTGGGAGAGCATATGAAATATTTAATTCCAATAAAATGGGTTTTTGTTCTGATCACGTCCATGACTTGCAACATCAGTACAAATTCTATATAGTCTGCCCCCATCCTGAAGCCTCGAGTTAAGCCAAAAGATGAACCTTTATTGTTTCAGTGTATTGCCTTTCGTTTTGGAAGAGAGAAAGGTAGCAATGGGTAGCAATTAAGATGCTGAACAGGTAGCAAGGTTTTTTTTTTCATATGACCACAATGCTCAGGATGTGCAGGGATCTAGTTGAAATGCCCCAATGCATTTACTAAACCTCTCAAACTTCTTTTTCTTTTTCCAGATAAGGCTGGCCTCTCCTTCCAAGCTCCAGAAATACCCACTCTGCAGAATTTTGATAGGCTCCTTCAAGAATTTGACAGGGGCAGCTTTGCTACTGGAAAGGATCTTGTGCCGGAAGCAGAGTCTGAGACCCTGCAGGAGGCTGGTGCAAACGACACCAGCAGATACAAAGTAAAGAGACCCTCTTTGCACATCCTATCTCTTGAAGCCACGTTAGATTTTGTCCAAGGGACAAATGCAGCGGCCTTAAACTTCGTCTAAGCCAGGGGTCTTCAAACTCGGCCCTTTTATGACTCATGGACTTCAACTCCCAGAATTCCTCAGCCAGGCCGAGTTTGAAGACTCCTGCTCTAAGCAGTTTCCCACAGACTGATTCTCAGGATTGGGAAGGGCCGAGCAAAAACTTCCCATGGATGAACAGTGACCAAGTGTCTTCTTCCTGGTAGAAAATGAAACTTGTTTTCTTTTCCTTTGACAGTTTAAGGATCTCATTCAAACAACCAACGGCTTTCTGAGGCTGCCTGCTCCACTTTTTTCCCATTGTGCTCATGAGAATCCTGCAGGTCAGAGAACAGCTTCTTCTTTAGAGCACAATATTTTTGAAGGACTTGTGTTTCTAAGAGTTCCAGGCCTGCTTCGAAACACAGACCTGAATCTCTACCTACTTAGTGGATATGGATAAGACACAAACAGGAGACAGGGGCTTAGGTTTCTGAGCTGTGGGCAGAAGATCCTGGGATTGATAAACTACACCTCCGTTTCATCTCTGGCTCAAGTTGACCCCCAGTTAGAGTATCCTTCTTACCACAACCATCAGCTAGATGGGGCTGAGGCCTGATATGAGGAACGGAAGTTTGGATGAGACAATGTCAAATGAGTCTTCTTTTTATCATAAGTTTCTAGCCTGAATTAATCTGAACTTCCTTTGGTGCCTCTGGAGCCCAAAAGTAGAACATTTTCTAAGTAAACCAGGGGGAGCACGTGTACATTAATATTGGACACAGGGAGAGAGTTCTAGAAAAGGCAGCTTGTTGCAATGGAGCCCAGTCTTAAGGCAAGCATTGCTGGGCTTTTGATTTAATCCCTAAAATGGACGTAGTCTTCGCCAAACTGAAGATTTCCCTCTGAGTCCTCTTCTTTGCTGCTTTCTCCAGGTTTCTTAATGACCCAGGCTGAAAAATGCAACACGGCGATCAAAATGGATGAATGTTCCACCCTTCCCGAACTCAGCATGCTGTTTTACAGCAATTTTAGCATTTTGGCAGTAAGCACTTATTTCGGGAGCCTTCAGAAGGCACAAAACAAATGGAAGGGAGGGGTGTGACGTCAGAACTGCTGGTTTATTTGTCGCTCGGAGAGAAAAGAGATTTTCTGACCCGGATGCCGAGAGGTTGGGACAAGGCCGGCCAGCTTGTCATTTGTACAATAGGTGGCAATGCTTCCCCTGAAGCATGACTTCTTTCCTTATTCCCATCAGGTACCAAATTCCAGCCGAACCGTAAGTTTAATTTTAATTCCGACTTTGAGCCACTTGCGACGCATCTGTAGGCAGATTGTACTTAGTGATACTTAATGGCAGCTCTCCCACTATAATTAAGGAATAACGGGGCGGTTATCGCTAGGTGGATCTTCCAAGGGCCATCTCTATTTTTGTGGGTGAATTTGAAAACCGTTGCAAAGCAGAATTGCTCTCCTTGGAAGCAGGCAGGTGCAGACCAAGGATGCGTCTGGATGGGGCACAGGGGAAAGAGCAGCAGGTGCTTCTCTGCTCTCTTTGCTTCCTGGGGGGAAATGGAAACTAATCACCCCTGTGTTTGATCTTATTAAGGTTTCTCTTACAGTGCAGGATGAGTAAAAATTTACCTTAAAACATTTCACCCATTCCAGAGCAAAAAACACTTCCCAAGAGAGGTTTTGTTTAAAAGGGATATGTCAATTTTTCCTTGAACACTTGTCAGTTTACATAGAGGATAAGGGAGAATAATAACTTTCCCTTCTCTTTCCTGGGGCTTTTGTGTCACTAGTGTTTATGTAGTTCAGTTCATACATTATGCCAATCTGTGGTTTAATACTAGTTTGAACAAACTACATCCTAGGCCTAAACCACCAGCCGTAGGATCTGAATCCTGCCTGTGTTCAAAGTAAACTTGTACAAGGTGGTTGTTGCTTATGAATCTTTTCAGGTTAACGTCACCATCCAGTCCGTCACAGTTCAGACGCCAGAGGGGCTGCGCACTCGCCTGGCTAATGCAGATGTTGTGTTGCTCCCTGTGTTAAATGATCAGTCGTGCAGCAATCTTGTTCTTGAGGTAGGCAGCCCTTGCCCTCTCATTTCAGGTCTTTATTCTGATAATAGGTTTGGTTTTTATACCGTGAGCCCCCTCGAGTGAATTTGGAGTTTGGTCAACACATAAGTCAAATAAAGTAAATCACCCTTGCATTTCAGGCCAGTTACCTCGTTACCTTTACTGAGGCAGGTGAAATCCTGGGGGCAGCCATCTCGCTGGTCCTGGGGACAGTTCCTATCAGCGCTGCTTTTCTGCAGCAGAGCTTTGCTATCCGTTTCATACAGGTAACTCCTAAATGATGTGAATTATATATATATATATATGTCACTGACATAATAATAGCTACTTACCTACAGTGCTAAGGGATTTGTGGCTTTGTATTCAATGCAAAGAATAAAAAATCACTAATTTGCAACATTGATTTTTTTTTACTTTTTTAATAGCAAGATACTCAGCCCGTTCCTTTCAGTGGAAGCCCAGGTTATCTTGTTGGGTTGCCAATAAGAGCTGGATTTAGATCAACTGGATATCCTTTTTTCCTCCATTATTTAAGCCAAATTCACTCTGGAAGATGGGTGTTGCAAAAGTCATAAGTGTGGGAAAATAATCATCAGTCGCTTTTTTCAGTGCCGTTGTAACTTCGAACAGTCACTAAATGAATCATTGTAAGTTGAGGACGATCTGTGTAGCTGGTATTGCGAAGCTGAGCTCAGGTATTGTTTCTGGACCAGTTCTGCCCCTTCTTGTGCCTGTCCTGCCATCGCGTTTGCAAGCCACAACTTCTATATTGTGCAAATCCAACTAACGGGGGCTAATTCAGTAATCGAAACCACAGCTCTGGCCACGCCTAAGCTCGGCTGCTGCACCAAAACCTTGTTTTTCCTTCACTCCCTTGCATCCACCTCTGGAGTCATTCAGAGTTTGAACGAAGGAAGCCAGCTGACCATGATGAAAAGCACCACAGCCCAGGACTGTTTCCGGGCGGAAGGGAGCCGAACTCCAGTACTCTTTGGGTACAATATGATGTCTGGATGCAAAGTGCGGTAAGGCTTAAGCCTACTATCTTTCTGACCCGTTGTCTCCCCTCCTTACTTGGATGCTGGGAAGGCAGATGTGTAGTTCACTGCCACAGCTACCCCATCTAATGTGATAGCTGGAAGACCTCAGGAATTGCTGGGGGGGGGGGTTGTGGAGGGATATGGAGAGGGGCTTCTCTGCCCACATTGGGGAAGACCCCTCCATCTTTCCCCTGCTTATTTCTGAGTCCAGACATTGTCATGGCAGTTATTGGTAACCTCATCCCAACTTTTCAGAGAACACAAGCCTGCTGTTGCTTAGCTTTTCCACAGACAGATTTATATAAATTTACACAGGCACCCGTCCCAGGGTTGCTGATGGCAATTTTCTTTCTTGAAGAATTACCAACAGTGTCGACTGCACACTTCTGGCTCCAGAGCTCCTAAGGGTGTTGAAGGGCCAAAATTTTCCAGACTATGTGGCCTCTTTTGGAGATTCCTTGCCTCAGAACGGACCAGACTGGGTCCAAATCTCTTACAATTCCACCAAACCGGTAAGAAGTCAGACTAACCCTGGCTAACATCTGGATGGATGTTTTCTTTACCCCAAGAACTGTCCTGGGAGAGAAACACTACCCCAAGACTATTTTGGGGGATGCAAATAGGCTATGTAACAGGATGTATCCTATGTAGGCAAAGTAAAAAAAAATAAAAATCAGAACACTGCACAAAAAGATGCTGGGAAATTTACTGATGTCCCCAAGCAGTTTGGGTGCAGCTTTCGTTCTTATCTAACAATTTTATGCACTCTCATAGATGACTCAGATGCTCCGAGCCCTGTTTATGGGACAAAGTGCAGTAGGTGACATCCTGCATGCTTAGCCAGGGTGGGAGGGCCTCCCCCTTGCGCAAAGAGAGGCTTGTGACCTACGAACGTCTGTCTGACTGTTTCAGGCCACCTGTGAAATCCCCGTGTCCTTTGAAATGGAAGTGAAGTGGACTAAATACGGCTCCTTGGTTAACCCCCAGGCTAAAATTGAGAGCCTCACAGTGATCATAACAACGGCTGCCTTACCCAAGGTGGGTGGTGATCTTCTGTGAAGGGAGGGGATGGAAGAACGCGGGGAGCTTATTTTTAACTTGGTGCACTCATTCCGTGATCGCAAGGCACTGTCTGTGGGTGTCAAGACACGTGCCTAATAAAACTGCCTTTCTCTTCTGAAAGGTAACCTTGGCACCTTATAGCATGGCTGGCCAGGGAATTCTGGGCACTGGAGTCCACACACCTTAAAGTTGCAGAGGCTGAGAAACATTGGTCTAGATCACATTTAGGGGGAAACCGTGGCCTGACTGAGTCTCTCTCTCTCTCTCTCTTGCAGGTCGATTCAGGAAGTGAAAGCATCGTCCAGATACTCAGCGCCGTTTCCTTTGTTGATATCTCTGCCCCTGCCCAGCCAGGATACAAGGCTTGGCCCACCATTGAGGCCCACCTGCCCTTTGATTTTTTCTTCCCGTTTGTTTAAAATCCAAAGATACCAGCTTTATTTTTTAAAAAGTGGGAAGCTTTCTTCAGATCCACGCTGAAGTTGAAAACAGCTGTTGCATCAAAGTGAGCAGAGGCCAAAGCCGTTTCTGCCAGCCTCAGCTTTGGGAGGACCTTGGCAGAGCTTGATGGAAGATTGTCTTGCTGCTGCTGCTAGTTCATAAGCGAATACGGACTGAGGCACGGATTCTGCCAGGTGCTGCTGCGCAAGAGAGACACGCAGATGGGAAGGCTGGGAGTTGAAATCCATGCATTCAGCGGGCCCCAGATTGGGGGAACTTTGCTTGCTATGCCCAAGAGTGTAAAATGCAATAGTTAACGGAGCCCCTATGTCAGCTGCTCAAAGGGCACAAGAAAAATAAAGAATTCTGAAATGGGGGACGATGGAGAAGGATTCTGCCCTGTACATTAGAAACCTCTTCCAGCTGCTACAGCTGTAGCTTTTGTGAATTATCGGAGGCCACCTCTGAATATGGATTTGAATTTATTACAATATTTCCAGCAAGTCTTGCGAAACTGTACGGCCGTACAAGAAAGAACGGCACCGGTCATTTTATAGCGCTGAAGCTGTTCTACCGCTCTGGGTCTCCCAAAGAGATCTAGTCCCAGCCAAGTGCCCTCCAACCCCCCCTCTGAGCATGACTAGGAGGAGGGCAGAAGGCAGCGTCCACCCTATCTGAAGGGCATCAGCCTGGGAGGACAGGAACCCGTGCTGAGAAATGTGCCAAAGGATATTTTTTTACCAAGGTCACCCTGTAAACGTGAAGTAACTTCTCGGGGCCAGAACAGAATCCACGGAAGAGATTGGCCACCCCAGGTCCAATTCAGGCATCTTTTTGGGGCTGGCTGAGTAACCCATGTTGCTTCAAAAGATTGTTCAGCCTTTCAACCTCTATTTCCTGTTGAAGAAAAAGAAATGAGGTGGTTTCTTGTGTCCCTCAGGCCTCGGATGCATGTTTTTATCAACAGCCCTTTTCCAATTTGGGGGGGAGGGAAATCAGATGAACAGAAGAGGGAAAGTGGAATTTAAAAGTTCTGAAGGAAGCCTACGAGCAGTTATCTCTTATCTAATAAATAAAAATAGGACATCTGAATTTTCAGTTATCATTATTGATTCTTTTCCTTTCATTTCTTCCTGGCTACATTTTATATTTGATGAAAAAAAAGAGAGGGGTTCTGGGCACTTCTAAGAGCAGAGTCAAAGCCGTGCCCTTACATTAGAATAAATTTAGTGGCAAGTAGGCTAGAAATCTTGTTGTTTCAGCTGGGTCAGGGCAATCCTCTTGAAGAAATTAAAAACTTACCTTCTCTGCAGAGCTGCTTTCCAGCTGTTGGACTTTGGCACTCAGCTGTATGTTGGCTTGCTTCAGTTTGGAGATCTGCTGTTCTGAGCGGGTCTTCACTGATAAGATTATTCCTGCAGAGAGAATTGAAGGACAGAACAGTTTCCAAAACTATCAGCCAAGCCTGAGGGCTGCTTAAAAATTAGCATTGCAAAACATTTACAGTAAACCTCCTGCTTAGGAAGGCATGGCAGAAAGGGGAATGGAGGGCTGGAATGGTATAAACATTGACAAACTTGGAGGCTAACTTAATACTTTCTAGTTCTTTTATCAGTTCTCAGAAAGATGGAAAGGAATCCAGGAGAGAACCAACTTAGAACTAAGGAGAAATTTACTGACAGTGAGAACAATTAACCAGTGCAAAGGCTTCTTTCAGAAACGGGGGGGGGGGTTGTTCCAACATGAGGTTTTAAAAAGAGATTGGATAAATTTGTCTGAAATGGTATGGGGTTTCCTGCTTGAGCAGGGGCTTGCCCTAGAAGACCCCCAAGGTCCCTTCCAGCTCTGTTATTCAGGGGTCTCCCATAGGATCAGGCCTCTGAGAGCCCACCCCTTGAACCAATGGCCTTGGGCAAAGCGGGGGGGGGGTTATGTAAAGGCAGTCTTGGTAGACAGGGAAGAAGGGAAATGTTCTAGAGGAGAAGGAGGAAGCTTTCACTCAAAGTGTCTCAGTCATCCTTGGATAAAGAGGACACGGTTCTTAGAGTTTAATTCCCATCCTGCTTCCAAGACGTACCGTTGATGATCCTGGCCACTCGCCACAGCCTGAGCAGGATCAGCAGGCCGAGCGCTTCAAACTGATGCTCCTGAAAGAGGACCACGATGTCCAGGATGAAGGAGACGACCACCACCAGGGCGTCTAGGACTTCGAACTTGTGGTGGAAGAACTCCAGGCGGTAGGCGAAGAGCTTGAAGCTGACTTCCACCAGGAAGAGGGACAGGATGGAGAGGCTCAGGTAGTGAAGCACCTGGGGGGCACAGAAGGGGCCGTGGGTAGCTGAAAAAGCCACCCAGGACACAGCTGGGGGGGGGGTTTGGGGGATGACACCACCTTCTGGCTGAGCTTAAGGCCGCTCCTGCCTGGAGAGTCTCCTCCGTTCACCCATTTTTCACCTTTGGTGCGATCTCCTCTTTGTCGGGATGAATGATCTTCAGATCCAGAAGCAGCTCTCCCAGCACCAGCACAGCATCCAAGATCACCAGGCAAACCACCACAATCTGTGAGGAAAAGGGAGAGCATTCGGGTAAAAACAGTAACATGTTCCTGGAAACCCATCACCAGAGGTTGAGGTCAGCTCCGTTTATGTTAGCAGTGAATATAACCGAAGTCCAACACACAAGTCATGGCTGGGGAATTCTGGGAGTTGAAGCCCACACATCTTAAAGTGGCCCAGACTGAGAAATGCCGGTTAAAGCATTGGACTCCTGGCTGGAAAACCAGGAATGATAACCCAACTCAGATAAGCAAGCTAACAATAAACAACAACCCAATCAAGGAACCACCAAGTCCGCTCCCATCAACTCTCATCTGACAGAGCAAACCACTAATCTATAGAGAGCAAACCCTACTCCTTTACTACCACTGATGATGATACCTAGTTTGGTAATGAAACGTCTACAAGAAAGCAACCAACCTCAGAGAGCAGCAAGGACCCCACAATGATAAACCTGATTGAAAATCTGCACACAGCCATGGGATGCCACTTATACGGTTTATTAAATAAACCAAGACTGGCTAAGTTCACGTGATTTGGGGGGTTTTGGACAAGCACGTGGCAGAAACCGTACCTGGGATTTGGATACTACTGTCCATGAGTTAACAAACTCTGCAGATCCAATCCAGTGAAGATTGACCAACAATCCATGATTAAGACCAAGTGGAATGACACAACGCCAGAATCAAGCGACGAGGTGGCACTCAAGATTATCAGTATCGCTCTTTGCTCGTGTGACAACCAAACTCCGATGAGGGAGCCCGTGGTGACCGTCATCTGAAGAGTCCCCCATCCATACCTGGAACTTGTGGGACTGGAACAGCCTCTTCATGACATCTCTGAAGGTTGGACGCCTGGGTGCCGATTCGACTTTCACCGCAACCTCGGGTGACTTCCCTTCTCCTTCCTCTTCCTCCTCCCATTTCTTGTAGTCGTTGTTCCACTGGGCAGTGTCATCTCCCACCACCGTGAAGTGCTTCAGATACATCGACATGGTGGTCACTCAAAAGTACATCACCTCCCAGAGAACAGCTGCAGAAGCAGATCACAAGCCATCCTGGTTAGTCAAGGCTCAGTCAGTCACCTTCCTAGAAATGCATTCATGGACAGATAAAAAGAGGAAGAAAGGAAGAATCACGCAACTAAAGTGATCGTTTTTCAGGGCTCTCCGTACTTGGCCACTTTAAGACTTGTGGACTTCAACTCCCAGAATTCCCCAGCCAGCATGAATTCTGGAAGTTGAAGTCCACAGGTCTTAAAGTGGCCAAGATCGGAGACCCCTGATTTAGGTTACTGAGTCCAGGTCCTTACTCAATGTAGAAAACCAAATGTAGGGCACCTCCCCAGCAGAAAACAACAGCCCAGGCTCTGCTCAAAGACACCCACCCAGAGTCGTTGACAGTCAGATAACTTACAGTTTTAACAAATCATCCTCACCATCACCAAGAAATTTGCTACTTCCCTAACGAACTATTCTACCCTTGAATCACTGTTGAAAAAAGCCCTGGAATTATGTGCCTTTTTTAAAAAAAGGAAAGAGGATTAAGAAACCAACCTGTCCTCCAGACACTGCGAAGAGAGATAAAAGAAGGGATCCTTTTAGAGGAAGCAGTGTGAAAATGCTACCTTCAAGAAGAAGAGAATTAATATCACAACCACACAGGAAGCCAGTCCTGGTCCTCAGAGAACCCCCAAAGCCGTCTCCCTCTTACCGTGTTTTAAGCTCTCTTTCTCCGCCGGCCCAGCCTGTTTCTCTCCTGCCAAGGAAGCTCAAGCAAGCCTGAGGACCCCGAAGCCCGCCCCAGAGAGTCCTCTGCCCTGCTAGAGAGACCTTTGCCGGCTTGTAGGAGAGGCAAAGGAGAACCCAAAAAAAAAAACCCCCACGTTTCCTGTTTGCTTTATTTTGCATAAGACATTTCTGTCGCAATCTTTTCTGCCGATGAAACTCTGGGAGGGTGAACGAGAGGGGAAAGCCCACCCAGGGCTAGCCAATCACTGCCATTAGACAAGTTCTCTGTGTTTGTTGTGGGTACAAACCATGGCTAGGACAGTTCTCCTTGTCCTTGGCTGGGATGGCATCTACCTGATGCATGAGGAACCCCGATGGAAAGCTCCTGCAGAAGGAAGACCCATGGGGAGGGGGCAGGACTTGCTCAAACTAGCCCAAAGTGCCACCAATTGGTTTTACTACGACCAAAGTCAGCTCTGGTTGAGAGAAGCAGTTGGCACGAATATTTGCTCTGTTTATGGTACCACACCAGTCAAATAAATTCCAGTCAATGCTGGTTTATGATCCTGCTGGTTAATAGCTTCCAGGTGATTGGAAGAAGAGCTTTGCATGGCTATGCAGAGATCTCCGACCTAATCATAATCTAAACAGGATCAGGAGTTACAACCCTCTTATCTATTTGCTGCCCAGAAGGGGTTATTCTGAATACTGTCTAGCAACAAACAGCCTCCCTTTCCTTCAGGGGCTGCCGAAGCAGCCAGGAATTCTCTTGAAACACTCAAGGTTATTGCAAAACGCTGGCGTTCTATTTTTAAGCATGAAGAAATACCTCTGATGTTCCTCCCAAAATAAATTGCAAATAGTCTGTTCTTTCTTCATATAGTGGCCCCTGTTCTTCCCTCCCCCCCCTCCTCCTGAACTTGAACGTGTTGGACCAAACCGATGGGTGGGAACACCAGCTTAGGACAAGCTTACACAACCTGCAGTCTTCTCAAACGGTTGTGTAGGAGAGAAAGCAGTTCCGAGTTCAGCCCCGGAAATCAGGATTTTACCTATTTATAGCAGCCAGCTCTTAAAATAAGACAGCTCCAAGAAGGAAAGTAATACCTGTTTCTTGACTAAACCCAAAGTGGTTGAGTTCAAGAACCATCCTAAGCCATTAATCATGGATTACAAACATCAGTGGCTCGGTTGACAGCTGGTGCTTAACTCAGAATAAAATGTTGTGGCAGCCTTGTCTACTCCGGGAGTCTCCAATTAGTGCTCTAAGCCCCATGGAAAAAAAAAAGAAGGGGGGGGGACAGCTGAGGCAGGAGAACATTGAGGTCTCCTGGGCATTAAAAAGCTCCTATTCTGGTTTGCTTGTTTTCTTGGAAAGTTGTAAGATTAACCCCATCCAAACTCTAAAGAAGGAATCTTTCCAGGCATGAAACCATGAATGTTTCACCTGTCACCTGTCTGGAAAAGCTGGACTTCATTTTCAAGAAAGATTCTTCTGGCAAACTAAACCAGTTGATTGTGGAGAAATCCTAGCTTCCCACAAACCATCACTTAGCCATCTTTCATTCACCTGGGAAGAGAGGCAGAGCTGCTCTACTCCTACAATGCTAAAAGGGGGAGGCCAAGACAGGCAGCCACCTGGTTGACAAGCAATGCTGCCTCCTGGTTTAACTATGATTTGTTGAATAAGCCACAATTCTCTATCGAACCCAAGCAAATTGCTAATCGTACGATCTTTGGTCCCTCACAGTCACAATCCTGTGCTGCCTTCCTAACCTAGCACCTCCACATTCCAGAATTCCCCAATTTGGGACCCTGAGCCAAAGGCCAGCAGGCATCTCCCCTGTCTTGTGAGTTTTGCTGACCAAGCTTTGCTGACCGTAACATGTTCACGCCAAAGCACCTAGGAAACTTACTGAAGCTTGCAGAAAAATCTGCCTAGTTAAATATTCTCTGTCTTCCACTGAAACCAATTCAAGGGATTTATTTACTTTTCTTGCAATCCGTCTGCTCCTCCTCCAAGAAAGACCTTTCCCAACTTCTAGGATCTAGAAGACCCCTCCCCAACAACCTTCTTCACATTTCTTCCCTGGAATTTGGGGGCGGAGCCTCTTGCTTGCCCAGAAAACTGTCCCCCCATCCTCAATTAAAATGCCTCTCTTTTTTTATGCTTTCGGCCACTCTTTGCTCTCCAGGCTCTTCCTTTTTTTTTTTTTTTTGCTTTGGCTCAACATAAGTCACTTTATCAAAAGTTGCAGATGACAAAACATTCCACTTTTGGGCAATACTTCCCAAGCCTTAAGTAAGCCTTTGTCGACTCTGTTTCATAGTTTTGCTAACATCCTGTTGGAAGTCATTTATACTAACATCTCTAAATAATCGCCCAGTTTCCATCTATATTCTCTGCCCTTTCTTTTCTTTCTTTTAGTGAAAGGCCCTTCCGCAGTTCAAAAGGCAGCCTTTTTATTCTTTATTAATGTTGAAAAAAGTTCCTCTTTCTCTCATTTGAAAAACAAATTTGGGGGGCACTTTTCCTCTCTGGGGAGGGCTTCATTTTAAACGTGTAGCCAGAGCATCTACATTCCTGGAGAACAACGGCGTCTGCAACGGAGTCCTGGCTGGTAGCACCGTGTCTATAAGAGTCGGGGTCTCCAGACTTGGCAACTTTGAAGACCGATGGACTTCGACTCCAGTTCCCCAGCCAGCTGTCGGATGGAGACTTCTGGGAGTTGAAGTTCACCAAGTTTGGGGACCCCCGAGGTAGACCATGCGACGGTGGAATTGGCCGAGCTACTTTCAGGCGCGGGTCGTCATCCCGCCCGCCTCCAGATCCGCATCAGCCGCTTCCAGGCGGGCGGAGGAGCTCTTGGCTCCGTCCGTCAGTCCGGCTGGGCTGAGCCGAGCGGAGGGGGCTTCGGCCCCCCAGCCGAGTTGGCGGGCTTGTTGCAGAGCCCCCCGCCCCGCCCGCTCCCTTTGCTCCCCGGCTGCAGAGCGGGGAGTGGGCGGGAGAAGCGCCCCCTCGTCCCAGGGGCGCCTGAAACGCCCCCTCCCCCAAAAGCGCGGGGCTGGGTACCTCGGCGTCGTCCCGGGCTGCTCGGGGGGGGGGCCGAAGCGGAGCGTTCGGGGCAGCCCGGCCCCCTTGGCCACCAAGCCCTCCCCGCCCGCCCCCCCCCGGCCCTGGCTGCCACGCAGCGGGGAAGCTGCGCGGAGGGTCTCCGCCGGGGCTGCCCCTGCCCGACGCGGCTCCCTCCCCTCCCCTCCCGGGCCCCCCCGTGCCGTACCGTGCGGGGCCACGAGCCGCTCCGGGAGCCTCGCCTGGCCGATGGGGCCGCCGCCTCCCTCCCTCTCCCGGCCGCCGTCCCCGCCTCCCCCGCCCCATTGGTGCAGAAAGCGCCGTCCGGTGCTCACCCCGCACGCCCAGCCCCGCGTTAGCCCCGCTGGGGCTGCCGACGCGGCTCCAAGCAGCGACGTGCGGGGATCCCGGGGGAAAGAAAGGTCGCTTCAGCTGGCGGCCGGCTTCGTTGTGCTGGCCAGCCAGCCCCGCAACTCCGCGGGCCAAAGCCACGGCAGGGCTCCCTGCCCCGTGGGGCTGCCCAAGTGGGAGGGCTCTGGGGGTGGAGCGGGCGGCTTGAGGGTTTTTTCCCCACCCGTTTTGACTTAACCCGCCTCTGCCCCCCAGTTCTAACCCCACTCCAAGTTAAGGGCCACTAGCTAAAAGATCTCTGGGATCTCTGCCTGTAGACCAAACTTCACCCTCCCTTGCTCCCAGTTGCAAATGCCCGGCAAGGTAGCCCCTCCTGGTGGCCCCTCCTGGTCATCCCTGCCGATTACCCAAATTAAGGGGTAGGAAGGCTTTACTGGCTTGGAATCAATGTTATGCTCCAGTATGGGTAGCAGTCCGCAAAGATCCCATTTTTAAGAGACCTCCTCCGTGGGACACCAGAGGGATCCTCTCTCCAGCCAGCAGTGGAGCTGCTTCCAAAAGTGGGCGGCCTTCTCCACTGTGATCGCCTCTTGGTCAGAGATGGGCAGGGGTCACCCTTCCCCACCTTCCACCCAACACCCAAAGCCCTAAAGCCCCCAATTTACTTATCCTAGGAGAGGGAAATGCCTGAGCCCCTCTCGACCCCCACGTGAGCCTCTAAAAGAGACCCTCCCTTTACTAAGTTCTCACCTCTTTAGATAGGACTTTTTTTGGGGGGGGGGGATGGAGAGGGGAGTTTCACGTGACTTTTCCTGAATGCGATGCTGAAAAAAAATGAAGGCCAAGAAGATTTAACAAGTTACTCATTTAATAGGCATTTTACCACATTTGTATTGTACACTGTCATCTGTTTAAAAAGATTACAGGTTTTTCTTTAAAAACAAAACAAAAAAAAAGAACCACAAGAAACTGTGAGTCATAGAAACAGGTGAACACTGGTTCACTGCCGCAGTTGGTTGTTTTCTAAGCTTTGTAGAGAGCAAGTCTTCAAGATGCAAATAAAACAAAACCTAAAGTAATTCTAATTCTCAGGCAAGTCTCTTCACATGTTACAACTTTCTGAACTGGCTAAAAGAGCAGAGTGGCACGCTTCGACACTGAATATAGGGGAAGTATCAAAAGTCTTTAATCCTGTACTCCAGCTGATCACAGCTTTACTCTGCTAGTTCAAGTCGTCCTTCCTGCAGAGGAAAAAATCCAGCTTAGACGCTACGGGCCGTGCTGATGGGTCTTCCCCTGCACACCTTGATTTTTACAGAGACACAAATCTTAAAATCATGGCTTTAATCGTGATTTCAAAGTATACGGGAGGGGAGGGCGCTGCAATTAAAACAAACATTACACTAGTGAAGCTGGCAAATGTTGAGGGTTGGCTGAAAAAGTCGACAACAGGACTCGTGTACATGACAAGGAAAATGCAAACCCTTCGAAACAAAATAAAAGCTTTTTACAAGTGAAGCGTATCGACAGGATGCAATTTGACAGTCATACTAGTCTCTGGGCACGCTGGTGCCTTCTTAGCTCCTAAAATAAAAACAGGCGTCACACATCACCTGGTCTCTACCGGTTCAAGGAGTCAGTTGTACAATTACCCAGAATGGCAGGACAGGTGCTGTGAAGTATGTACAGCCGGAACATCGAGAACAGAAAAAGGTGTTGTGTTTTTTTTCCTCTTTCCAAATACCGGTTATTTGTTTATTTATTTTTTTAAAAGCTCTTCTTGAGAAGGGAGAACGTCTCATTTGCTGCTACATCCAGCAAATGCCATCCATCAAAATGAAGCAGAAAGAAAAACCACAACACATTAAATCTAGTCTTAGCAAGCTGACTGATACACGTTACCGGTTTTTGTTTTTTTTTTTAAAAAATGAAGATTATATACTATAGTACAAGTCCCAACCAGGCAGGCCTGAGAGTACTTATTTCTTTGCTTGTTTTGTGATCATACCCCTGGGTGGCGTTACCGGTCGGCTAGCGTTGGGCTTCTTTTTCTCCGCAGGCTTCAAGATCTGGAATGACAATTTGCTGATTTAGTGATGCCCGGCAAGTTCTGCAGGCAGCTACTACAGAGAAACCACACAGGTAGAGTTATACTGGTCTGATCAAACCTGAAATGATAGGGCTAAATTACTCAATCCGAGACCCAGACTGGACCAGGATCACATCTCTCTCTCTCTCTCTCTCTCTCTCTCTCTCTCTCTCTCTCTCTCTCTCTCTCTCTCTCTCTCTCTCTTAAAAGATCAATGCATTTCCTTCCAATTCCATAAGCCAGGTATCAGCAACTATGGCCCCTTTATGACTTGTGGACTTCAACTCCCAGAATTCCTGAGCCACCTATGGCTCAGTTGAGAAGACAGCCGGGGGGTGGTGGTGGTGCTGGAGGATATCCCAGG